TGCTCCAAAACAACCAGAAAAGAAGCCCCACGCATTGCTTCTAGAATTGAGGACTAAATGGCCTCTGTGGAAATGAGGGTATCTTGTTTTTCTAATGATGTTAAGCACCCCGAGAAAGGGCCAGCATCAATTCCTGGGCAGAGGCACTGGCCTGATGTCTGTTTTAGGTCCAGCGTCTCCCTATCTTGACCCCACAGAACCAGTCTAGGTTCAGGTGATGGGTGAGTGACACTGCACATTTTCTACCTCTGGCTTCAGTCACCCCCAAACCCCCTACCCCCAACACCCACACACACACACACACACCTTGTTTGTTTGTTTGTTTGGTATTAGACATTTCTTAACATATTCTTCAATAATAAAACGAAAAACAAACCTCAAACCTGTGGATTATAGATGGTTTGCAAAGCAGAACTGAAGTGGATTAAATCCATCACCCAAAGGAAGAGGGTAGAAAATTGCCTGCTGCGGGGCAGTTGTTCTGTCGCTGTTATCTGGGGTTTAAGTGGCTCTAAAGTAACCCCTTTGGTCCCCAACTCACCACACCTGTGACCCTGCCCCAAACTAAGAGGATCGACTAGAACTCAGCAGGATGGGTGGGGACCAAAATAACCCACTCGGGACTGCGGGGCTTGGTTGGAGAAGGCAGCTTGGGGATGTGGGCTGAGACACATGCTGGATCGCTCACTACTCCTCAGAGTCAATTTTCTACCCTGCATCAGGCAGCTCTGGATTGGAGCAGGCCCAGGGGCAGGGTGGGTGGGGGCAGGAAGAGAAGGGCGGGAGGTCAGGGCCTTTCCCTGAACTATCTAGTCAGGGAAGGTTCTCTTTTCTCCTGGATCCAACCAGGGGAGGGGTTCTGGAGAACTCTGGCATCACCTCTGCTCAAGAAACATGAAGGGGTGGGGGTGGGCGGAACTGGAGCAATAGCACAGCGGGTAGGGCATTTGCCTTGCACGCGGCCGACCCGGGTTTGATTCCCAGCATCCCATATGGTCCCCTGAGCACCGCCAGGAGTAACCCCTGTGCATTGCCAGGTGTGACCCAAAAAGCAAAAACAACAACAACAACAACAACAACAACAAAACATGAGGAACAGACCAGTCTTGATGGACATTGTAGGCAAAGGATGTCTTTTGTGGAATAAATAGTGTTAGGCTATAAATATAAAGTGTATTTTATATATATAAATATAAATTTTATTTTATTTTATATATTTATATAAATATAAAGTGTTAGGCCGTTTCCCTATAAATATAAAGTGTATTATATATAAATATAAATTTTATTTTATATTTTTATATAAATATAAAGTATTAGGCCATTTCCCCAGGAGACATCAGATATATTCTGGGAGTGGGAAGGTAGCATTCCAAGTCTTTGGGATTGAGAGTTAGTTTGTATTCTCCTACATATATATATATATATGTATGTATATATATCTTTTATTGACATTGCATCACATTATAATGCTATGTAAGTTTCAGGTGTGCACCATCAACCTCTGACACGTCTGTAGCTTCTATGCTAGCGTCTGTGCTAGAATTCTGGCTTTGTGACCTCCACCCCACTGAACTCTCCTACTGCATACCTTCTCTCCTTCCCTGAGCAGGTTCGGTAAATTCTTGGAACTCCTGTGAGCAAAGGAGTTTGCTAGTAAGTGGAAACTATGTCAGTGAGATGGTTTCCCCAGGGGGAGCCAGCCAGCCTTACCTCTCCCGGGAAAATGGCTTCATGTCTAAGTTCTGACCAAAAAATATCAACAGTGCAGCCAAATGGAATTTTACTTGAACTTTGTACTTAGTACCAGCGTGGCCCTGGTCTTCACCAAGCCCAAGTGCATCTTTGCCAATTGCAGCAGTAGTTTTCACAAGTCTGTGGTTTCTAGAGGTGTTCGATCAGAATTTGAAGTTAGAGACTCCAATTCCTTTTCTTTTTCAGGGGAGAGAGGCAAAAGGAGTGATGGCCAGGGATTGCTGCTTCTTCCTCCTACTTGGAAATACTTTTTTCCTGGCATTTGAGTTTGTTCCTCAGTTTATTTATTCTCACATGGGATTCTCACCCACTGCACACGTGTTGGTATATTGGGCATCATGCCAGTTACCAAGAATCTAGATAGAAAAAGGAAAATCCTGCCTTGAGAGGGGAAAAATATTAGTGCAGAGAAGTATTTTGTGCTGTGGGGCACAGGAACAGACCTTTGGCCCAGTTGAGGGGTAGCAGAGGGTAGGGGCAGGTTGAAAGGGTCCAGAGCTGCAGGAGAAACACAGGTGCATGATCAGCAGTCAGAAAGATGTCCTAAGGCTAACACCCAAGGACAGTAGAAACAAGGGCCAGGACGAATGGCCCAGGGTTGGAAGCCTGCCTCACGGCCTGTGGGAGGGGCAGTTGGGATAGAGAAGGGACCATTGTGACAGTGATGGTTGGAAGGGATCCCTCTGGATGGGAAATGTGTATGGAAAGTGGAAAGTGGGTAAAGGACCAAACATGATGGCCTCCCAGTGTGGGGGGAAGGGGGAAAAGAGAGAGAGAGAGAGAGAGAGGAGAGGAGAGGGAAAGGAGGGTGTGGGGGTTGCAGGGAGGGATACGGGGGTGGGGGAATATTGGGATGTTGGTGTTGGGAAATGTACACTGGTGGAGGGATGGATGTTTGGATGTTGGAACATTGTCTGACTGAAACCTGATCATGAAAGCTTTGCAACTGTATCTCACAGTCACTGTCACTGTCACTGTCCTCCCCTTGTTGTTCATTTGCTCAGCAGGCCCAGTAACGTCTCCATTGGAGACTTTGTTGTTACTGTGTTTGGCATATCAAATACATCAAGGGTAGCTTGACAGGCTCTGCCATGTGGGCGAGGCTGGAGCGATAGCAGAGCGGTAGGGCGTTTGCCTGGCACGCAGCCAACATGGCCGACCCAAGTTCGATTCCTCTGCCCCCCTCTGGAAGCCCGGCAAGCTACTGAGAGTATCTCACGGTAATTAAAATAATTTTTTTTTTAAAAAAAGGAAGGTGCAAACACATTAACAAGTGTGCTTTCAGTGTGTTGAGTAAATGCTGCTCTCCCAAAGTGAGTGAAAAGAAAAAACTCTTTCATCTTCAAAACACATTCTTGTTGTAGAGTCCTCAGTAAGTTGGGAGAAATGCTTTTGCTCACCCAGGTTTGATCGATGCCGTGGATGAACACATGCCACATGGTCCTGTTACCTGTGCAGAGTTCCTTAAGTTCCCTGGAAGAGTAACACCATTTGCTAAGTGGAAATCATAATGTTGATCTCATTGGATAATTGAGACACTAAACCAGATAACATGAGGGAGAGCGGCTGGGATGAAGCCTTGCACATCTGGCCTGTGCTCCAGAAATGGTGCTTACAGTGGGAAATGGGAAATTACATACAGTCAATGGCACTGTTTTCTCCTTGTCTTTGGGCTAATTTTCCATGAGAAAAGTCATTTCCCTAGAGGAAACCTGGTAATGAAATCATCACTGGATCTTTGTTTTATTTTTTGTTGCTTGTAAAAATAAAACAAAACAAAACAAAATGGGGGGCATGGGCTCCCTCCTAGGCAGAGCTCTGCGATGGTTTTTATGGACATTCACTGTCTTGTGGAGAAAGCCTAGTACTTTTGCTTTGTTTTGTTTTTTGGGTCACACCCAGAGATTCTCAGGGGTTCCTCCTGACTCTGCACTCAGAAATCACTCCTGGCAGGCTTGGGGAACCATATGGGATGCTGGGGGTTGAACCCGGGTCAGCCTTATGCAAGGCAAACACCCTACCCACTATCCTATCACTCTGGCCCCAAGCCTGATACTTTTCATCTGAAATGATTTTATAAAAACTTTCTTTCCAATAACACCCAAGAGTGGCCGAGATTAGTATCAGGAATTTTGCTCCATGGCTTGGAGGCCAGCTGCACTAGGGGAAAAGGGAGCTCAGATAGAGAAGGGAGCACCAAATAAAGGGTGTTGGGAGGATCCTCCCAGGATGGGAGATGCGTGCTGAGAGTAGACTCTAGATTGAACATGATTACCACTCAGTGCCTCTTTTGCAAACCACAGCACCCAAAAGGAGAGAGAGAGGACAAGGGGGAATGCCATGCCACAGAGGCAGGGTGAGATGGAGGGATGGGGGGAGGGAGGGATACTGGGACCTGTGGTGGTTGGAAAATGGGCACTGGTGGAGGGATGGGTACTCGATCATTGTATAACTGAAACCCAAGCACAAAAATTTGTAAGTCTACGACTGTACCTCATGGTGTTTCACTAATAAAAATTAAAAAAAAAAAAACCAAAATCCTTTCTTTCCGAGGCCCAGGAACTGGGGTTGTGGTTGAAGTGGTTGAGCAAATGCCTAGAATGTGCAGGGCCCTGACTTCTACCCTCAGCATCACATGCCCTCCGCACCCCCATCCCCTCTGGGTATGTATGGTCCTGGGGCTCCTGAGCACCAGTGGGTGTGACCTCTCTAAGAACTGAAAATAAAAGATGTTTTCGTGACCCACTCTCTCTTCTTATTTAGTAAACTCTTTATTATATTGACCTTTTTTTCAGGAGGTGGGGGGGGGGGTGAGGGCACATCCAGCAGTTCTCAGGGCTAACACCTGGCTCTGCACTCAGGAATTCCTCCTGACTCAGGACCATATGGGAGGCCAGAGATCGAACCCGGATCAGCCACGTGCAGGCGTGTGCAAGGCAGATGCCCTACCCGCTGTGCTATCACTCTGGCCTTTATGTTAGGCTGGGGGCTGTATCCATTCGGGGTCAAGCAGACGGTCAGGCTATTTAGCTGTCTTCCTGCACGTGGGCCGTGTTTCTTAGCAGAGTGTTGCTGAGATCTGTCCAAGCAGTGGGTTCTCTTGGAGTGTCTCCGCCCTTTGGACACAGGAAATGGAGAGTGTTTGGACAGAAGGTATCAGAGTTGAATTGTGATGGGCCCCGTGACATGGAAGACGCCACGGTACTGACCTCCCTCTCTGGCTTTCCCCTTTCATGTTCCCTCAGAAGCCTGATGTCCTGACCACAGGGGCTGGGAATCCCATCGGGGACAAGCTCAACATCATGACAGCGGGCCCCCGAGGGCCTCTGCTGGTTCAGGATGTGGTTTTCACTGATGAGATGGCGCACTTCGACCGAGAGAGAATTCCCGAGCGCGTCGTGCACGCTAAAGGAGCCGGTGAGTGGGCATCAAGGTGCCTTAGGGCACATGGCTTCAAAACACCAGGGCTGAATGTTGCACTTCAGGGGCCAGAGGGGTGGGACAGGAGGGAAGGAGGTTGCCTTGCATGGTGTGGGGCCTGGTTTGATCCCGGGACTGTATAGATCTCCTGAGCTATGCTTAGGGCTCAGTCCTGGACACCGAATGAGGAATTGCCCCTAGCGCACCATCTGTTTTTATTGCAAAAATAACAAACTATAGGGGATGGGAGTGCTGCTTTTTTTTTTTTAATATTTATTTGTCCTTTGTTTTCTTTTTTGTTTCTGGGCCATTTCTGGCAGTGCTCGGGGTTTATCCCTGGCTCTGCACTCAGGGATCACTCCTGGTAGGACGAGGGGTAGGACTAGAGATAATTGCACCCAGCTAGGCTCAAGGCAGGGCTGGGTGGTGTCTTAAACAAAGAAAATAACTTAACTCAGTAGGAAAAAGAAAGCATGATAGAAAGGAAGAAAAGTTTTTCTCTCCTTCTTATTTATTGAGTTTTAATTCAGTCTCCTACTGTATCTCCTCTTCTTCTCTTCTTCCAAAAGAGCCCTTGTAGCTGCCCCAGCTTTGAGGTTTTTTTTTTCTTTTCTTTTTTTTTTTGGAGTGGGGTGGCTTTCTCATCATGAGGTTTACGGTGCTGTTTGCTTGGCGTTCTTTGTTCATTGCATGTTCTACTTTTTCTTCTTTTTTTTTTTTTTTTTTTGGCATTTTGGGTCACACCCAGTGATGCTCAGCAGTTACTCCTGGCTCTGCACTCAGGAATTACTCCTGGTGGTGCTCGGGGGACCATATGGGATGCTGAGAATCAAACCTGGGTCAGCTGTGTGCAAGCCCTAACCACTGTACTATCTCTTGGGCCCCAATGTTCTACTTTTTTTACTTGTTTCTTTTCCTCTTCCTTTGCTCTCAGTTCTCTCTCTGAGTTTCTGAATATGTTTGAAAGCCCTCTGAGGCCGAGGACCTTGAGTCACCCGTGGCTAGCTCCTTCCAGCTTCTTCCAGCTCCTCACTCATGCCCTCATCCTTTCAACCCTAGAAGTTTCTTACTCAGTTGAGCACTTGATGATGGGGGCATTGCCCTCCGCTCCCACAAGCCCACAGCCAACCCCTCATGTTCCTTTGTGACCCCTGTGCCTCTTGAGGACCCGATGGTGTAAGTGAAGGTCTCCTGATGCGGGATTCTGTGACTCTCTTACTAGGGGCCTTCGGCTACTTTGAGGTCACACATGACATCACGAAATACTCCAAGGCCAAGGTGTTCGAGCATGTTGGGAAGAGGACTCCCATCGCCGTCCGGTTCTCCACTGTCGGTGAGTCCCCTATGTGTGTGTGTAGGAGGGCTGGGGACTCTCCTGTGGGGACCAGAAAGAATCTGTTCCTAAGAGCTTTAACATTCGAAGCTTAATTTCAAGACAAACTTATCAAAAAACAAAACAGAAAACAAGCGCTTCTCCAAAAGTCTTTCAAATAAGGAGAAATAGTTTTCTGAGGCCGGTAGGAAGTTACTGATTGAGGTCGTGAGAAATCAGACTGATACTTCCACCCCTTTGGGTCATTCTGTGATATTTGGAAAGAGCTTTTCATTGCATCACGGCTTCACAGGCAAGCATGGTGTGGAAATCACAGTAACGTCAGTGACAGCTGTCCCTCAGCAGAGCCTCCCACCTCCCACGTTACTCATTGTCGGGGAGAGATATTACTGACAGCTAATCACCAATGGTTTGCAGACATTATTGTAATCCATAGATCTACTTTGCTAAGTGGGATTACTGCTGTTTCAGAGATGAATGGATTCAGCGTTAGTGTGTATATGTTTTTAAATACCATGAAGTATAACTGTAGCACTGTCCTCCCGTTGTTCATCGATTTGCTCAAGCAGGCCCAGTAATGTCTCCATTGTGAGACTTTATTGTTACTGTGTTTGGCATATTGAATATGTCACGGGGAGCTTGCCAGGCTTTGCTGTGCGGGCGAGATACTCTTGGTAGCTTGCCGGGTTCTCTGAGAGGGGCGGAGGAATCGAACTCGGGTCGACCAGGTCGGCCGCGTGCAAGGCAAACACCCCACCCGCTGTGCTATTGCTCCAGGCCACCATGAAGTATAAAAATAAGTGAAATTAAGAACCTCTATTCTGACTTACTTTCTTAGTATTAACTTCATCCTTCTGACAGTTCACCTATTCCCATATTCACTACCTTAATCATCATAATTATTCTCCTCCCTTGTTCTCATTTAAATTTTAATTGCCCGTTTGAACAAAGCTGTCTTTTTATGGTAAATGGATAATCTTAGTCAGCTGTTATTACATCCACTGCCTTATTAGCCTCTGTGAATTCTTTTGTTTAATTTGTAGCCTAAATTATCTCATGGGTGGTAGAAATAATAGCGCAGGCACGCAAATCCCTAATTTACTTCTAGGAAATGAATGGATTGGCAAGGAGAGAGCTCTAGGGTTTCTCTGTGACGAGACTTCTTGGATGCAAACTGTTCTAACAAAGGCTTCATTTCCCGCCTTTTGACTCTTCCAGCTGGAGAAGCGGGCTCAGCAGACACCGTTCGGGACCCTCGTGGCTTTGCGGTGAAATTTTACACAGAAGATGGTAACTGGGATCTCGTTGGAAATAACACCCCGATTTTCTTTATTAGGGACGCCATACTGGTAGGTGGTGTGGTGTTCTGGAAACCACAGTGTTTGCTTGTCTCAGATACCCTGTAGAGCGTGGCCTTTGAGGGGAAACACTGAAAAGCAGAGAATCTGGGTTGGCAAGATTGCCTTTCTACTGCATATTGTGTATCTTTCTGTAAGATCAAATGACCACAGTTACTGTTGGTCTTAGATTTGGCATTCCAAGATCTTTTTATTGGCCTTCATGGGAATGGTCTGTTTTTCTTATCATGGGGCAAGAAATGAATAGAGAGAGGGGGGCCTAGAGACAGAGAAGAAGGTGTTATTACTTGTTCCCAGTTGGTAGGAGTTTGTGAGTTTATGTGGGCTTTGTGTGTATGTACATTTTTTTTTATTCAGGTAGATACTAGATCTCTGATTCTATTTGAAATACTCTGAGGGGTACCAGTTATGTCTGTTGAACACATATCCTTTTAAAGTCAGGCAGTTTAACATTCTAGAGTTCAGGGTAGGAGTGATAGTACAGCAGGTAGGGGGCTTGCTTTTGCACATGACCTACTGGGGTTCCATCCCATATGGTCACCCCGAGCACTGCCAGGAGTAATTCCTGACTGCAGAGCCAGGAGTAAGTCCTGAGCATTGCTGGGTGTGGCCCAAGAACAAAACAAAGAAAACAAAATTCCCAGGAAAATACCCAACATTCTAGAGTGTGATTGTTCCAAATTACAATTCCTAAATGTAACAGTAGGTGATGTGTAATATATATGTATGTATGTATGAGTATGTGCATATATGTATATATAAAATGCCATAATTCCTGTACACTTAGTTTCTTTTCTCTCTTTCTTTTTCCATTCAGTTTCCATCTTTTGTCCACAGTCAAAAAAGAAACCCTCAAACACACCTGAAGGACCCAGACATGGTGTGGGACTTCTGGAGCCTGCGACCTGAATCTCTGCATCAGGTGGGGACATTTCTGTTCTCTCTGCCCTGGCCCTCCTGGGCCAGAACTGATAATTCTTCTTCCTGCTATACGCGCCAGTTCTGGTTCTCCTGCTGGAATTGGTTCCTGGATTGTTTCTCAATGGGAGGCTTCCTCAGGTTTCATGATCCTAAAGAGGGTTTTATAATGATGGATTTTGTTGCTGGAGCAATAGTACAATGAGTAGGGCACTTGCCTTGCACATGGCTGACCTGAGTTTAATCCCCGGCATCCCCTATGGTCCCCCGAGCTGTGCCAGGAGTGATCCCTGAGTTCAGAGCCAGAAGTAAGCCCTGGACACTGCTGGGTGTGGCACAAAAACAAAACACGCACATGCAGAGTTTATGATGATGGACTTTGTTGTGCTTCCCCCTCCTTGGAACCCTTCAGTGATGCTATCTTAGTATCTGTGCTCAGCGATATTAAAGGTTAAAGTCTCTGGAGTGCAGAATAGTTCTTTGGGTAAGGGGAAAGTGATATTTTAAAAAATTTAGGAAAAGTAAACAAATTTACTATTAAAATGAAGTGAGTTAGGCTAGTTTTCAGATTTGTTTTAGCTTGCTTTTATTGGATTTTTTGAGCCATGGGATTAAGGATTTGTGTATTATTCTGCTTTAAAATGCTTATGCGAGGGGCTGGAGAGATAGCACAGTGGGTAGGGCATTTACCTTGCACACGGCCGACCCGGGTTCTATTCCCAGCATCCCATATGGTCCCCTGAGCACCGCCAGGAGTAACTCCTGAGTGCAAAGCCAGGAGTAACCCCTGTGCATCGCCAGGTGTGACCCAAAAAATAGAAAAAAAATAAAGGAAAAAAAAATAAAATGCTTATGCGTGTGTATGTGTGTGTATGTGCGCGCACATTAAGTAATAATGACAGCTATTCTTGTGGGTAATCGACAAGATTGTTCTCTGTCGGTAAGGATTTTTCTGGAAATGTAGAATGTCTTAAAATTATAGGATGCTTAACTTTAAAGGGAAACTTTTCAGGTTTTGTTTTTCCTCTTCCTTAGGTGTCTTTCTTATTCAGTGACCGTGGGATTCCAGATGGGCACAGGCACATGAATGGATATGGGTCCCACACTTTCAAGCTGGTTAACGCCAGTGGAGAAGCAGTTTATTGCAAGTTCCACTATAAGGTAGAGTGAAGCAGGAGGCTCCAGGCTGTTACCCGCCTCATCTTCTTACTTCTCTTAAACACTGAGCAGGGATCAAGAGCCCCTCTCCTTTCTCTTTCCTTTCCCAGAGATGGGAACTCCCTATCTAGTTGATGAGTACCCATGACTTTTGTTGGCTGACCCTTCCCACCACCCCCAGTGAATAGCTCTCGGGTGGGACCGTGTGTGATCTCTCTGGTTGTTGGCCAGTGTCTTGAGGCTCAGAGCACTCGGCTCAGTCAGACATTCTCTTTGGGAGCCCGGGAGCTTCACCTTCCCTGTGTGGGAAATGTTCCTTTTGTGCTGGCTCTTAGGTTTTATGTTTCAGGTGCTGGAGGGACTCGTTGAAATGCTTTTCTCCATGCAAGGGGAAGATCTAAGGTATCACTATGAGGGAGACTATTTGACCTCCTTTCTTTCATTCTGTGTTTAGACTGACCAGGGCATCAAAAACCTCTCTGTGGAGGAAGCGGCCAGACTTTCCCAGGATGACCCCGATTATGGCCTCCGGGACCTTTTCAATGCCATCGCCACCGGCAACTACCCTTCATGGACCTTCTACATCCAGGTCATGACGTTCAGTCAGGCAGAAAAGTTTGAATTCAATCCATTTGATTTAACCAAGGTGAGCTGGTTAATAATTGAGTTGTTTTCTTTTAAAGAGTTTCTTGGTCCACCAGGTTCATTGATGATGATGGGAAGGGCATGTCCACAGGATAGAGCCTCTCTTTGTTTCCTAGCTTGGGAGTTGGTACTCACCAGGCTGAACTTACATATTCCTGATGGATAAATTTATCGATCTCCTCCCAGTGACTTGCTACAGTGTTATTTGCAAGGATCAAAGTCTGAAAAGCTGATGTCCATTTCATTTAGGACAAATATTGACTGTTAGGAAAGATTGAACTCACCTTTAGTTCTTAATCATGTTATGTTGTTTTTAAGATAATGAACTTGCTTCCTGTTTATCCCCAAAGCCACGCCTGGTTTTCACTCTCTCCCAGGTCTGTACCACCCTCCCCCCCGCCCCCCCAAAAAAAACAGGTACCTGTAGGGGACAGGGACGTGGCCTCTGCAGAAGTGGGCATAGTCTCTGCAGGAGTGGGCGTGGCCTACTTTGGGGCCACTGGCCGCAGTTATATTACCCATACCCAGCGATCTGGTGTCACATCTCAGTCTCCATACTACCACAACAACATGAAGAAACAGCGCAAATCCCCACCACAAGCAGAGAGTGATGAAAAGAGTCCAGAAGCCTCGACAGGCGTTAATCACAAATGTGAGCTCTTCGATAAAGATTTTGGAGATGAAGTAATGAAGATGTTCAAGAACTCAAAGAAACGGTGGGACAGATATCCAGTAAATTAAAGGAGGACATGAAAGAAACAATGGATCGGACAATCGAGAAAATACAGGAAGAAAAGAGAGCAGAAATAGGAAAGCTATGCACAGAAGTGTCACAAATAAACGATTCGATAGATGAAATAAAGAACTCAGTGTGTGCCCTCAAAAGTAGAATGGCTAGAGCCGAAGACAGAATCAGTGAGCTTGAAGATGAGCTGCAAGAAGCTTATAGGCAACAACAAACAATGGGAAGAGACCTCAAAATAACTCTAGAGCGAATCAGACTTCTACGGGATGATTTCAAGAGGAACAACATTAGAATAACTGGAGTACCAGAAGGTCAGGGAAGAAATCTCAATGAAAAAGCCACAGTTAAAGAAATCTTTGCTGAAAAGTTGCCAGAGCTGGAGAATGCAGGAATCCAGATTCAAGGAGCCTGAAGGGTGCCAACTAAAAGAGACCCTAACAAAAACACTCCAAGACATATCATAGTTAGAATGATGGGTGCCACAGATAGAGACACAGTACTGCAAGCAGCAAGGTCAAAAAAGGAAATAACATACAAAGGAGAACCCCTTAGATTCACAGCAGACCTATCAGAGGAAACCTTCCAAGCCCGAAGGCAATGGTAGGATATAGTAAAAAAACTCACTGAAATGAACACTTCACCAAGAATACTTTATCTGACTAAACTCTCACTCAAACTCAAAGGAACGGTACATTATTTTGTGGATAAACAACACTCAGGAACTTCATAGACTCAAAACCAAACCTAAAAGAAAGGCTAAAAGGGCTACTGTAAGACAGGTCAAACCCCTACAAGCACAGAAGTGTCACAAATAAACGATTTGTGACAAACCCTTACAGAAAGATGACACAAAACCCCATAACAATAATCTCTCTCAACGTCAATGTAGTCTAAATTCACCAATTAAGAGACACAGAGTGGCAAGTGGATTCAGAGACAGAACCCAACATTCTGCTGTCTATAAGAAACACATCTGAACTATCAGAACAAACACAGACTCAAAAGATGGAAAACAATCCTGCAATCAAACAACCCCCTCAAAAATGCAGGGATGGCCTTACTAGTATTGGACAACATAGATTTCAGGTTGAAAAATATTAGAAGGGACAGTGAAGGCCATTTTTTGTTAATCAAGGGATATGTACAGCAGGAAGAAATCACACTCCTAAACGTATACACACCCAATGAGGGACCAGCCAAATACCTACAACAACTGCTAATAGACTTTAAGAAGGACATTGCGAGCAACACAATAGTAGTTGGAAAGTTTAACACTGCCTTTTCACTTCTGGATAGATCAAGAAGATTAAAACTCAGAAAGGAAATAATGGCTCTGAAGGAAGAAATAGAAGAGAGAGAAGGCTAATAGATCTATACAGGACTTTATATCCCCCCAAAAATTAATACACATTCTTTTCCAGTGCACATGGAACATTTTCCAGATTAGACCATGGGCCACGAAGCATACCTCAACAGAATCAGAAAGATAGACATTGTATCAACTATCTTTTCAGACCATGATGCACTGAAGATAGAAGTTAATCATGTACAGACTCAGAAAACCAAATCAGACACCTGGAAATTAAACAAGTCAATGTTGAACAACAAATAGATCAGGAAAGAATCAAGGAAGAAATCAAAAGATACCTGGAAACAAATGAGAATAAAGACACGAGCTACCAGAACCTATGGGATGCAGGTAAAGCTGTGTTAAGGAATAAATTTATAGCTCTGCAAGCTTCTCTCAGGAAGGAAGAAAGGGCCCACATAAACAACTTGACTTCACAGGTCTTAGAAAAGGACCAACAAAAGGAGCCCAAACCAGGCAGAAGGAAAGATACAATAAAACTTAGAGCAGAAATCAACGACATGGAACCCAAAAAACAATCTGAAAGATTAATGAAACCAAGAGTTGGTTCTTCAAGAAAATAAACAAGATAGATAAACCACTAGCAAGACTCACAATGAAAGAGAGAGAGAGAGAGAGAGAGAGAGAGAGAGAGAGAGAGAGAGAGAGAGACAACCCTAATAAACCAAATCTGTTTACAATAGCCAAAATTTGGAAAAAACTTGAGTGACCGAGAACTGGTTAAAGAAACTTTGGTACATCTACACAATGGAATACTATGCAGCTGTTAGAAAAGATGAAGTCATGAAATTTACAAACAAGTGGTTCTACATGGAAAGTATCATGCTACATGAAATGAGCCAGAAAGAGAGGGACAGACATAGAAAGACTGCACTCGTGTGGGGAATATAAAGTAACATAATGGGAGACGAAGACCCAGGAATAGTTGAGATAAGTACCAGAAGGTCTGCTCCATGGCTTGGAAGCCGGTAGCACATGGGAAAAGGCAGCTCAGGTAGAGAAGGGAACACCAAGTAAAAGATGTTTGGAGGATTTACTCGGGATGCGAGATGCATGCTGAAAGTAAACTATAGACTGAACATGATGGCCACTCAATACCTCTATTGCAAACCACAACACCCTAAAGGAAAGAGAGAGCAAAAGGGAATGCCCTGCCACAGAGGTGGGGCGGGGTGGGGGGGAAGGGGTGAGGGGTGAGGGGTGGGAGGGCTACTGGGATCATTGGTAGTGGAGAATGGGCACTGGTGGAGGGATGGATACTCGATCATTGTATAACTGAAACCCAAGCATGAAAGTTTGTAAGTCTACAACTGTACCTCATGGTTTTTCACTAATAAAAATAAATAAATAAATAAGTTAATTTTCATTGATTCCATTATATTTGAAAGCTGGTGTATTTGTGGGTGCTTTAATTTCTATTCTGTTGGTTGCCCGGTAACTGTGAATGTATCATTGCTTTTAGATATGGCCTCATAAGGACTACCCTCTTATCCCAGTTGGTAAACTGGTCTTAAACCGGAATCCAGTTAATTACTTTGCTGAGGTCGAACAGATCGCCTTTGACCCAAGCAACATGCCACCCGGCATTGAGCCCAGCCCTGACAAAATGCTTCAGGTAAGTCTCAGGTATTGAGTTGCTCTAAAGTAGGCGTGTGGAGTGGGAATGGACACACACACACACACACACACACACACACACACACACACACAAAATGGGTAGTTTGGCATGGTCTTTGTAAGAATGAATGAGGGCATCACTTAAACTTTGATTAGTCTTGGGGCTGGAATGATAGTACAGTGGGTAGAGCATTTGCCTTGCACGTGGCCAACCTGGGTTCCATTCCCAGCATCCCATATGGCCCCCTGAGTACCACCAGGAGTAATTCCTGACTGCAGAGCCAGGAGTAACCCCTGAGCATTGCCAGGTGTGACCCAAGAAGCAAAAAAAAAAAAAACCCTCAAAAAAAACCCCAAAAAACACTTTGATTAATCAGGGTCTTCAATTCCTGTAGTCCTGATAAAAACATCCAGACACGGGGATTATAGCACTGACCACATTTCATAAAATCCCTCAAAATGTTAAGATTTTGGCATCTAGTCTCTTAATTTAAAGAGTTAGGAATGCTTCAGGTATTTACAGAATACAGCACTCTGTTCCCTCAGTAACCAATGGGAGGGAATAGAGTTAATTAATTATAACATCTAGGTCAGGAAAACTTGATTCCTTTCCTTCTCTATTACCCTCAAATTTCCCCATCTATAAGAAGCGTCTGGATATGATTTTCATGAACCCAGTTTATGTTGCCTGTGAATCAAGGTGTGGATTAATGTGACCCTTTGTCTCAGATGGTGAGTTTCTGAGGCATTTGGTGTTTTTCATGCCTACTCACTATGTTCTTTTAAAAGTACAGAGAGTTAAAAAAATAAAATGTTCTCTCTGTATGTGGAAATATTCTTTTTGTGGAAATAATTGACTGGATAATTACTGGGTGAATCAATCTGTGTTTTTGAACACTGGCCACGAAACAGAGGTAAAAGATTAACCACAGGGTCCAAGCAGAGGGATTCAAGTGGCTTCTTGTATAGAAGCGTCTGGCTGACGTTCCGGACTCCCAGAGTTGAACTGAGATCCCCTGGCTTTTTAATAATAATAATTTTTTTTTTGCTCTAACATTGGAAATATTGGGCACTTTTGATAGAAAATGAGTGTTTCCCTTTGATTTTATTCAACTTCACTAATATAAAATGAGTTGCTTCCCTCCCTCCTGGGTGAGACCCACAGTCCCAGGTGCTGACAGGGACATGTACAGGAGGGAACCCTAAGGCCAGGCATTGCCCATACCAGGCACCAGGGAAACTCTCTGTCCCTGAGTCAGCGGAGATGAGATGGCACAGGCAGGCGAGCCTGTGGTGGAGCCGACCTTTTTAAATAACAAAGGGGGGAAACTTTGGGGTAAGGGTCCCTTCTAGGAAAAGAAAAGTTGGCTTCTGTTTTGAGAAATAGGATCTGCAGAATCATGCAGCTCGCTCCTGTGGCTGAGAGAGAGAAAACGAAGGAAGGCTATAGTGTGGGTGCAATCAGGAATGAAAGAGGGACGCAGGCTGGTACTAGAGGATCATCAGAAATGTCTGCAGTGATTCCGAGGAGCAGAGGAAGCCAGGACACTGGGATCCTCCCCTGCCTGGGGTTGAAAGGATGTGATTATGCCAAGAACGGGTTAATGGCTGGGGCCGGAGCGATAGCACAGCGGGTAGGGTGTTTGTCATGCATGTGGCTGACCCAGGTTCGATCCCCAGTATCCCTTATGGTCCCCTGTGCACTGCCAGGAGTGATTCCTGAGTGTAGAGCCAGGAGTAACCCCTGTGCATCACCGGGTGACTCAAAAAACAAAACAAACTGAGTTAATGGCACAAAGTTACCATGTTGGAGAGCTCAGAGGGTAGAACTGTGGGATCACTCCTGCTGGGGCTCAGCGAACCCAAGTGGGAGCCGGGGATTGAACCCAGTTGGCTGCATGCAAGGCAAGCGCCCTCCCTACCATGCTGTAAATTCTGAAACCTTGTTCCCCAGAGCAGCCAGCCAGACCATGGCTAGATGGACGGATGGTATGAGGCAAGTCACAGATCAGAGGGTCCCCAAGTACCTGTGGGGACAGTGATAGCTTTTCTTCTCTCCCAGAGAGCATCTGGCTAGGTCCAGGGGGGAGGGTTTTCTTCTGCTCTCTCTGCCCAGTCCTCAGGGGCACAGGGCCCCGTGCCTCCTCGGTCTCACTCTGCCCATTTGCCATCCTTGGCGTGTGGGGCCCTCCCATGAAGGTAGCGTGGGCTTGTCTGATAAACCTTTAGGAGGCACAGAAACAAGGTGGTGGGACAGAGTCCACCAGGAGCTGCAGATGGCTCCCTCGGACCCCGGGGTAAAGGCCGAGCTCAACTGAGGCTGTCTTGAGTCATAGGAGACCATCAGCTTCTAAATTACAGCCGCCCTGAGTCACGACTGCAGGACCAGTCGCCTGAGCATTGCCGTGGATGATTTGAAGCGATTATTGGGAGGTGTGAGAGCCTCAGCCAAGAGCAGGTTGTTGACAGAGAAGCGAGACTGTGGGGAATATGCCTGAATCATTGAACCCTGCATCCAGGGCCCCATAGCCTGTGTCTGGACAGGAGTTTCCCTTTGCCTAGCACTGGGCTGACATCTAGAAAAGTCTCCGAGCTCCAGGTACGCCTGGCCTGGCTCCTCACACGATAAGCGAGGCTCTCTTTCAAGTCATTTCTAGGCTGGGGATTTGGGTAGAAGTTTGCTGCTGTTTGTTTTGAGTCTGAAGCATGGATTCCCCCGACCCCCAACTCCGGAAGGGGAGGGGTAGGAGGACAGGAATGAGTTCATGGTTCCGGTTCATTAGGTTCTAGCAAACTTGTTTTACCCCGAACTGTGCCCGTAAGGACTCACATAGAAGAGGACACTGTACTGTGATGTAAGAAGACAGTAGATGATCTGGGACGGAGGAAAGGTTTTTGGTGTGTGTGTGTGTATGTGTGTTGTGTGTGTGTTTGTGTGTGGTATATGCTACACGTGCTTTCAGTTCAGGGACGGCGGAAAGGGTTTTGGTGTGTGTGTGTGTGTGTGTGTGTGTGTGTGTGTGTGTGTGTGTGTGGTATATATGCTGCACGACAATCAGTGATCTGGGATGGTGGGAAGGTTTTGGTGCGTGTATGTGTGTAGTGTGTATGCCGCAGTATTCAGTTTGGTGTGTGTGTGTGTGTGTGTGTGTGTGCATGCATGTATGTGTGTGTATGCCTGTGCATGCATGCGTGCATGTATGTGTGTGTGTGGTGTATGCTGAACATATTTTCAGTTCTGGGATAGCAGGAAGGTTTTTGGCTTGTGTGTGTGTGTGTGTGTGTGTGTGTGTGTGTGTGTGTGTGGTGTGTATGCTGCACGACAGTGATCTGGGACAGCGGGAAGGTTTTTGGTGGGTGGGTGTGTCTGTGTGTGTGGTGTGTGTGCTGCATGTATTGAGTTCCGTGTGTGTTTGTACGTGTGTGCATGTGTGCGTGTGTTTGTATATGCGTGCGTGCACGCATGCGCGTGTGTCTGTGTGTGTGGTATATGCTGCACGTGCTCAGTTCCGGGTCACCAGTTTCATCTGAGAGGAAACTAAAACTAAAACTGCTCCTAGCTGCGAAGGCCAGGGTTTCATGGTATCTGTGTCCAGCACGCACCCCATGTCCTCCCCTCCGCCCCTCCTCTATTCTCTGTGCACACCTGACATCCTGCACCTCTTCTCTATGACCCTAGGGCCGTCTGTTCGCCTACCCCGACACCCACCGCCACCGCCTGGGCCCCAACTATCTCCAGATCCCCGTGAACTGTCCATTCCGGGCTCGAGTGGCCAACTACCAGCGCGATGGGCCCATGTGCATGTACGACAACCAGGGTAGGTCCGGGATGGTCTGTCCTGTGGGGCCGGCGGGGTGGAGAGGATGGTGGCAGGCCAGGGATTTTGGCCCGGCCCGGGGGGACCCCACGCTCCCAGGGACACCAGCCTGTTCTTGCCCCAATTGCTGTCACACTCCCCCGCTGGGGCAGGTGGGGACAGGGTCTCGCCCACTGGCAGGAGTAGAGGAGCACCCGCTCTAGGCTTAGCTTCTAATGACAGTGGACGCGAAGGTGGACAGTTCGTACTGGCCTCTGTTTGTACCCAGCCTTCTGGGAGCCACCAGCCAAGAGCTGAAGTCTCGTTTCTCTCTGCACTTCCGCCGGGGCCCTAGTGGGGGGTGTGGGGGGCGACTGACTAGAATCTGGAGTGGGGAGAGGGAGGGTAGAGGCAGGGAGATGCTGTGGCCCACAGCACGTCCTCTGTGCTCTTTGCTAAGTGAATAGTGGAAGTCGTAGAAATCAGCCGTTGTTCGGCTCTTTTGGTGCACATTTATGGTCTATGAGAATAGAACATTCATGGTTTTACTTCCTTTGAACTCCTCTTAGTGTACACATAGCATGTTTCTAACCATCACACTTGATTGATACCGTTTTCATTGAATATCGCAAAACTTAAATATCGGATTATTTCCCCCCTCTCCTATGTGAGACACATAATAGTTATTTTGAATATAGACTACTCTTTTCAGAAGTTGGACTGTGAGTTTTATATTTAAGGCAGTAGATGTCTGTGTCCAACCAGGCCGACCCAGGTTTGATTCTTCCACCCCTCTCGGAGAGCCCAGCAAGTTACCTAGAGTATCCCACCCATATGGCAAAGCCTAGCAAGCTCCCCGTGGCGTATTTGATATGCCAAACACAGTAACCATAAGTCTCACAATGGAGACGTTACTGGGCCTGCTCGAGCAAATCATGAACAACGGGAGGACAGTGCAGTAAGGTACAGATGTCTATATTCAGATGAAGTTCCTTCCTTCCTTCCTTCCTTCCTTCCTTCCTTCCTTCCTTCCTTCCTTCCTTCCTTCCTCCCTCCCTCCCTCCCTCCCTCCCTCCCTCCTTTCTTTCTTTCTTTCTTTCTTTCTTTCTTTCTTTCTTTCTTTCTTTCTTTCGTCCCAGCCTGTCTTGCTTTGGGGTGACTCCTAGCTTTGTGCTCTGGAGTTAGATGCCCAGGGCAGTGTTCATAGTCCAGCAGTGCTGGGGTAGAACCTAGACTTCCAATACTCAGCCTGTTGAGCCATTTCTCTGGCACCAAAGTTTATATTTCAATGGTAAAAAAGAGTAAATTTGTCTTAAAGAAAATTTGGAAAATAATCTATGGAGAAAAGAAAGCAGGGAAATCCACTTATAGTCCAGTAACCAAAGGTTTCAGCTTTCTAACACTGTGCTATATACTTTTTTTTTTTTTGCCAGTATTATCTGTGGGTATTTTTGTATGCCTGTACTTAATTTTTTTAATGTATAATTTTTGAGTACTTTTTTGGTTACCATTATCATAGTTTTCCCCATGTTTTTTTTTGTTAGGTTCACATGCTTACCGATGAAATTACATTAGGTGGCCCCACAAAATTTCTCCACCCCATGGTTTACAGTATAATGGGAGTATTATTGTCCAAGTAATTGGTGCCTATCTCTTGCATTTTTATTCAACGTTTCTTGTGTTCATAATACTTGGTCCTTTCATTATTGAGAATGGACCTGTCGGAGTGGTTCCTGTATATTCTGGAACTTAATTAACAAGTGATTGCTTCATGTTTATACCACTGTTGCTAATCATTATAGTAGCATATGTATTTAAAAACTACTTAAGGATGCATTTTGACACACCCTTTGCTTGTTTGGAAAGTAGAGCGTTTGTGCGGTGTTCTTAAAGTTTGATGAAAGAACTTAATTGTTTCCAGGAGTTGAAGACAACTCCCACTTTAAGAAAAGGTTGGAACTTATTCAGAAACAAATTTTGAAATTACTCCAGCAGGTACATTTCAAAGAGCTCGTTTTGGGGGGAGGTGTGACTGGGGTCGGGGCACACCCAGCTGTGCTCACGGCTTATTCCTGGCTCCATGCTCAGGGATCACTCCTGGTGGGGATTGAGGATTGGGTCTTGGGGATGAAACCCAGGACCCAGTGGTCGCATGTGAGGCAAGAGCCCAGCCTGCTGTATTATCACTTCAGCCCCACAGATTTTATTCTTAATTTAGCAGCCCACTGCAGTGGCTGGCTGCTTTGCTTTCTACCTAGATGCTGCTGGCCTGGAATGAACTTAAATGGGCTAACACTGGGCTGTAGACCACTGTGGTGGTCTCCCTCTTTTCCACGCGTTTGACCAATGTGCTCAGTAGCTGCCTCTCGATGATTTCCTCTGGCTAATCCATTCTGGCAGCAGTAGAGCTGGGTAGAATTCCAGTCCCAGGCTGGTTTATTCGAACCCCTGATGGTGTTTCTCGCCACTCGGGCTGAAGTAGAGTGTGCGTATCCCCGAAAAACCCACCAGGGTGCGAAAAAAGAGGCTTCCTGATTTATTCCAGACAACAAAAGTGTTCTGATTCTATGTCATCCCCACCATAAATCTAGGTCAATGAATGTGGACATACTAGAAGGTCCTTTTTAAGGAATTTATTTGTAACATTACTGGCGCCCACTTGAGCAAATCAATGGGCAACGGGATGACAAGTGATACAAGTGGTGTGTTGAGGGCCAGGGGTATGGCTGGAGTGGCAGGGCATAGGCCCAGCATGTATGAAGCCCCTAGTTGTACCCTCACGGAGCAAGGTTCCATACGTTACCATCTGCTGTGATCTTGGGGGCCCCACGCACCCATCCCATCCCACCTGCCCCTGGGGGTGAGGGTCTTGCTTTCAGTCCCCTGCCTCCAGCACCCCTGGAGTATTTATTTGGTTTCGGGTCACAGTAAGGGGTGCTCGGGGGTCTATCCCAGTGGTTAGGGGACATGAGGTGCTTTGGCTTAATCCCAAGCTTCCAGCTAACAAAGCCTGCACTCAGCCCGTTCAGTGCTTGATTTCTCTCTCTCTCTCTCTCTCTCTCTCTTTCTCTCTTTCTCTCTCTCCCTCCCTGTCTGTCTCCATCTCTTTCTCTCTCTCCCCCTCTCTCCCTCCCTCTGTTTCTCCTCATTCTCTCTCCCCTCCTCTCTCTCTCCCTGTCTCTCCCTTTCTCTCTCTCCCTCCCTCTCTGTCTCCGTCTCTTTCTCTCTCTCCCCCTCTCTCCCTCCCTCTGTTTCTCCTCATTCTCTCTCCCCTCCTCTCTCTCTCCCTGTCTCTCCCTTTCTCTCTCTCCCTCCCTCTCTGTCTCCGTCTCTTTCTCTCTCTCCCCCTCTCTCCCTCCCTCTGTTTCTCCTCATTCTCTCTCCCCTCCTCTCTCTCTCCCTGTCTCTCCCTTTCTCTTTCTCCCTCTCTCCATCTCTCCCTCCCCCCCTCCCTCCCTCCCCCATCCCTCCCCCCTCCCTCCTCCCCCTTCCCTCATGGCCCTTATTAAAAAAAAAATGTGTCTTTAGAGGGAGTTAAAAGTGATGACTGATTGGTCATCCAAGCCTGCAAGGAGCTCAGTTCCAAGAATCCTCAGACCACTGAGAGCCAAGCTGGGGCAGGAGCACAGTTTGTGCGGGAATGGGGGTGACACCCCCCCCTCCCAAGCTCCCACCCCCGCATGGGACCCTATAGGACCCACCCATGGCAACACTCAGTTGCTCCCATGGGAGCTACTGACCACAGAGAACATGCAGTCGCTCCCAAGTAGCTCCGGGATGCAGCGTTTGAACTGAGAGGCTAGGTCTGCGGGAAGGAACCCTTCAGATCTGAGCTGCATCTGGGGTCTTCGTCTAGGGAGGGGCGGGGGCCGGAGCAAACCCTGGGTGTGTTTCCTGGTCCCAGTCAGCATCAGAGTCAGCCGGGAGGGTTTTTTCCTTTTCTTTTTCTTTTTATGTCACACCCGGCGGTGCACAGGGGTTACTCCTGGCTCTGCACTCAGGAATTAACTCCTGGCGGTGCTCAGGGGACCATAAGGGATGCTGGGAATCAAACCAGGGTCGGCCGCGTGCAAGGCAAATGCCCTACTCGCTGTGCTATTGCTCTAGCCCGGGAGGGTTTTCAGGGCCCCGGGACCCTCTTGGCTGGGACTCGGGTGAGAGACCTCGGGCGTGTGGTGGGGGGGGGGGCTGGGACAAGACCACGGGCCTGCCGGGTGCCCCTGTGCGGGCCAGTGGGATGGGCTCTGCCATGGGGGGCCCACATGACCCTGTGCCGGCTCCCTTTGCAGGCGGCGCCCCCAACTACTACCCCAACAGCTTCAGCGCCCCGGAGCAGCAGCCCCGGGCCCTGGAGCACGGCGCCCGGGCCTCCGCTGACGTGCGGCGCTACAACAGCGCCAACGAGGACAACGTGACCCAGGTAAGGCTGCCCAATCAGCTGCCCCCACCTCGGCCTACCTCGGGCCTACCCTGTCCCTTCCCTTCCCATATGGGATGTCAGGGATCAAACCTGGGTTAGCCCTGTGCAAAGCAAATGCCCTACCCACTGAGCTATTGCTCCAGCCCCTTTAGTGTTCATAGTCACGGTCCTTCCGTTGTTCATCGATTTGCTCGAGCGGGCCCAGTAACGTCTCCATCATGAGACTTGTTGTTACTGTGTTTGGCATGTTGAATACATCACGGGGAGCTTGCCAGGCTTTGCCGTGTGGGCGAGATACTCTCGGTAGTTTGCCGGGCTCTCTGAGAGGGGTGGAGGAATCGAACCCGGGTCAGCCGGGTTGGCTGTGTGCAAGGCAAGAATGTAATTTTCTTTTAAAAAAAACTTTTAAATGAGTGTATGTACACACTGCAGGAAGCTATAGACAGGAATACTTTCCCTGAGGCACAAATAGGATGTGTGGGTGGGAGGGAGGGAGTGGGGGGGGGGGCTGGGAACAAAAAAGGTTATTTTGGAAAGTCACCAAATAGAAATTTCTAGGGGCCAGAGCAATAGCGGGTAGGGCATTTGCCTTGCACGTAGCCGACCCTGGTTCGATCCCTGGCATCCCATATGGTCCCCTGAGCACCACCAAGAGTCGTTCCTGAATGCAGAGTCAGGAGTATCTCCCATGCATTGCTGGGTATGACCCCAAAACAAAAACAACCTCTCTCCCCCCACCAAAGAAATTTCTAGAAGCAAACAGTGCAATCTTTGAAGTTAAAACAACAGAGTGTCTTAATGGCTGTTTAAACAGTACATTAAATACAATCAGAGAGGAAATGAGCAAATTAGATGGTGGGCAGAGGACACGATCATTACTTTGATTGGATTGTGTTTACTTCCCAAGTCTGGGTTTTCAACTTTGGCATCAGATTTAAACTTTGAGTACTTACACCCGGGTCTCTGACAACTTAGTAACGCGATGGTTGTCTTGATATCTTATTTAAAATGTGAGCTGTCCGTCCTTCACGCCCTACCGAGGTCACGAGTTGCCCCCCCATGAGCGGCTCTTCAGCGCAGCCGTAACAACAGACGCACAGAAACCCATCTCGTAATTATCTGGCTCTTTGCAGAAATCCAAAATCATTATGTGATTCTCATAACCAGCTATAGAAAACAAAGTATTTCACAATGCCTTTTCAGCAATTCTGATTGTTGGGGGTGGGGAGGAAATTCTAAATAATAATGGTGCATCTTTTGTCAAAATAATGAACGTAATCAATGTAGAGAAAAGTTAAGTAGAAATCATCTGCCTCACAGGCATTGGGAAGGGTGGGAGGGGGGTATATTGGGGTTCTTGGTGGTGAAAAATGAGTACTGGTGAAGGGAAAGGTCTTTGATCATTGTATGACCGAGACTTAAACCTGAAAGCTTTGTAACTTTTCCCACAGCGATTCAATAAATAAATATAAGAAGAAAAATAAATAAATAAAATTATGGAAAAAATGTGAGCTATCTCAATGAATACATAATGACAGTTATAATCACCATAAAATATTGCTATCTAGACGAGAAGTCTCACGTTTTCATCCCTCAGGTGGTTCTTTGGGGCGGGGGCAGCCGTGCTTGTGACGAGCTGGTGGTTTGATTCTCCGCCCGCTCTCTTGACCCGGGGCAGGTGCGGACCTTCTATACCAGTGTGCTGAATGAGGAGGAGAGGACCCGCCTGTGTGAGAACATTGCTGGCCACCTGAAAGACGCGCAACTCTTCATCCAGAAGAAAGCGGTGAGTGGTGCTGTGTGGGCGGTGGGGCGCCATCTGCTGGTGCGAGAAGAGATTGCAGCCGTGAAGGGGAGAACCTAGCAAGTGTCCCTTCTGGTGAGCTCATGAGACATTGAAGAGTTAGAATGAATCCCCCAATCAACCTCTGTTTATATAAGACGTTTGTCTTATCTGCTGTGACACATCATGAATCCTTGTGCTCTTGGTCTGAGGTGCGGTCCCTTCCTTGAGGTCAGAGTGAGAATCTTTCCTTGGTTTGTTTAATTTGGTGCCAGCCGTGTTCCGGACAGTTTGTAGCATCAGTGACAGGATGCCACCTTGTTTTGAGTGTAGGTGCTGAGAAAGACATGTTTAGTTTTTGTTCTTTTTTTTGTTTTGTTTTTGGTGGGTGGTTTTAAAAACTGATAGTCAAGACCTGATTTGCATGCTTTCTGGGGTAAGAACCGGGCTGCTTTCAGAAGTCAGGCTGAGGTCCCGGCATATTGGTGACAGCATCTCACTGACTGCACATGTCTTTCTCACTGCTGGGTTCTTGACCTGTCAGAGAGATGAGCTTCTTGCAGGCTTGAGGAAACCTCACTTTTTCCTGGGCTAATCCTAGGCCCAGCTGGAGCAGCAAGTATCTGGGAGGCAAGTACTAGCAGACTGAGTGCTTTCTTTGTAGGCTGAATTCTACAATTGGTATGTGTGTGTGTGTGTGTGTGTGTGTGTGTGTGTAAGTATGTGTGTAGATGAGCCCCTCAGCACTGTTTTCTTAATATTTCTCTTTAAGCATGGAGCCTGATAGCCAGAGGTCTGTCAAAGAGGTGGGGAGGGTTTAGTCTCTTGCTGATAACCATGAGCTTGAAAACGGTTTGTAAGTTGCCGAATTGGGCTTGGCCCCCTAGCATCCTTCTCACCCATACACTGATACTGACAGGCTTCCTGTGAGTTTATGATGCCCCACCCTCCCACTGTTCAGACACTGCCAATCCTGTTCATTCATTCATTCATTCACTCACTCACTCACTCACTCATTCACGTGCTCATGTGTGCTTCTCTCCCTTTCTGCACAGCAGTGCTGGAGGCCTGGGGGCTATTCCTGGCCATACTCAGTTGGGCCCTGGCCCAGTGGTGCTGGAGGCCACTGGGGCTACACCTGCCAGTGCTCTGGGGGGCTCTGCAGTCCCCAGGATTGAACCTGGGGCAGCAGGCATGCAGGGTGTATACTTGACACACTTGAGCGCTCTCCTCAGCCCTCATTCTGCTCTTCTAGAGCAAATTGAGCTTTAGAGCACTGATTTTCCTGACCAGAGCCTCCCTCCCCTGGCTGTAGAGGCGAGAGTCGGCTTGTGTATATCGGACCCAGCACTTACTGCATTGCATTTGGTGCCCGGAATTCCTGCTTGAAGAATGTGGGGCCCTCCAGCAGGCCAGCATCTTGGCAAACAGGGCTTAAAATCTAGGCGGTATCTGGGCCCCATTTCTGAGCCCCCGTCACCAGGATCTGTTACCCCGAGCTCACCCCGAATCAGCTTTTTCCCCTGCAGGAAGGTTAGTTAATGCCCCATGTGTGCGTTTTTCTTAGTCTTCTATGAGGTGAGGTACCTTTCCATCTCGTTGTAAGGAGAGTGGACGTTGACACTCATAGGAGTGATCTATCCAAGGTTACTTCCCCAGTAGAGACCAGGGTTTCAACTGGACTCCCAAGTCTCTTTTTTGAGGGGGTCATGGCGTGGTTAAGATTCATGTTTCACCACGCCAGACCCTGCGGGGCTCAGGAGCGGCCCCTGGTGGTGGTAGTGGGCACCCCATGTCTTGCTGCTTGCCCTGTGAGACTCTGTAATTCTCCCTCCTGGCTTAACATGGAGACAGACCTGGGGCGGGATTCCTGCTCTCATATCCTGCCCGTTTGGTTACAGGTGAAGAACTTCAGTGATGTGCATCCTGACTACGGTGCCCGCATTCAGGCCCTTTTGGACAAACACAACGCGACAAAATCTAAGGTGAGGCCCCAGCAACCTGGCCATGGGAGTTGGCAGTAGATCTGGATTTCATGAAGATGTTCTCCCTGGGGGCATGACTACTGAGTTCTGAAACTCACTTGAGATATAAGTCAGTGGTCTTTTTTTTTTTTTTTTTTGCTTTTTTGGGTCACACCTAGCGACGCACAGAGGTTACTCCTGGCTCTGCATTCAGGAATCACTCCTGGCGGTGCTCAGGGGACCATATGGGATGCTGGGAATCGAACCTGAGTCAGCTGCGTGGAAGAGAAATGTCCTACCTGCTGTGCTATCGATCCAGCCCCTAAGTCAGTGGTCTTCGGTCAGCCAGCCCATGGACTGCCTGCCTGTGTGGGAAGGCTGAAGACCATTCATTGACCATTGGCCGTCGCTGCCTTGGTTGTAACTGCTGAACCGTGGACAGGTGTCTGTCCATGGGTGTAAAAGGGCTGAAGAATGCAAATTCGAAAAAACATCATCTGCAAAACATAGACTCTTAGGAATTTTTTGTTGTTGCTGTTGTTCTGAACAGCATCAGACTGCTTGAGAGGAGACGGGGTGGAGGGGGTGGTGAACTGTTATTTTCTATTTTTGGGGGGGGGGGGTCACACCCAACGATGCACAGCGGTTACTCCTGGCTCTGCATTCAGGAATCACTCCTGGCGATGCTCAGGGGACCATATGGGATGCTGGGAATCGAACCCGGGTGGGCCGCGTGCAAGGCAAATGCCCTACCTGCTGAGCTATCGCTCCAGCCCCACTATTATTTTCTTGTGTGCGTGGATTCAGGCTAAGGCAAATCTTGCCACGTGGCCGCTGCTGAGTCCATGAGTTAGTACGCTGATCCTTGTTCTTCCAAAACAGGGCGCAATTCATACCTTTATGCAACATGGGTCGCACTTGGCGGCGAAGGAGAAAGCTAATCTGTGAGAGTCAGAGGCCAGCGCGGCTTTCACCTGCAATCCACCCATCAACTCACTCGTGCCGGATAGAAGATGCCCCTGTGCTAGACGCACAGATGCAAGCTAATGTCTGCGGATGATGTACCCAGTTCCTGTAGCAAATGATGTGATAACAGCTTCTGCTGCTGCTTCCCTAGGGGACAATGAAGGTTAAGGCTTAACAATCATAACAATCATTTAATACAAAGTATTTTTTTTTTTTTTGCTTTTGACAGTTGGGCAGCTTATTAACTTGAAATGGTTAGAATAAAAACGTTAGGCAGATGTTACTTTCATTCATAAGAGAAAAATCACTTTGTTGAAATTGGTCTTTTTCTGTCAGAGGATGGCCAGTTATATGAAAACATGGCTATAATTGTATCCGCAGAAAGGATAAAGATCATCTACTTAGAAATGTTAATTTTTCTAAGTTCTTAGAGGAAAGATCAGTGTCTCTCTAGAGTAACATTAATACTTTGTGGAAAAGGCTTATTCCTGCTTGGAATTGATCGGATTTTCTTTTTCAAATTTGGAATTAACGTTTATGCTGATACAGCATTGATTTTTTTTGCAAGACTGATTTGTAATTGCTTACCTTTTTACAATAAAATAATCTGTACGTAAGAATAGTATTGCTTTCCTTTGGTCTCATTTATAACTTGAAATTCCTCCCAGATTTTGGGGGGTTGGGGGGAACATACCATTAAGGACTTGAGGACTCTCTGTGACTCAGTGCTTGGGGCTTGTTCCTGCTAGTGCTTGGGGACCATGTGGTGCCAGGGATCAATTCTGGGGCTCTTGTAGGTAAAGTTTTCACTCTAGCTCTTTAAGCTGTCTCTGCAGCCTCCACGTCATCAGATTCTTCTTTTTTTTTTTAAATTTTTTTTATAAAGTAGCACTGTAGCACTGTCCTCCCGTTGTTCATCGATTTGCTCGAGCAGGCCAGTAACGTCTCCATTGTGAGACTTGTTACTGTGTTCGGCATATTGAATACGTCACAGGTAGCTTGCCAGGCTTTGCAGTTCACAATATTTCATTACATTTAATATTCAAACACCAATCCCACAGCCATTACACCTTCCCACCACCATATTTAGGATGTTTTCATCCCAAATCCCAATCCCTGCCCCAAAGCAGAACCGAAATTATATAATTTGTATTGTTTGTTATGAAAAACCACGGAAAATACTACAAAAAAGTATTCTTAGAAGAAAGAATGTGGAGATTGTTATATTTCACTCAGGGGCCATTAAGCCCTTCTATAAGAGATCACCAACATGTTGTTAAAGATTGAGCCTCGTGTGCTTTACGTGTGTGTGTGTGTGTGTGTGTGTGTGTGTGTGTAAAAATGTATATTTCCCTTTAAGATTGGTTGCCTCCTACTTTGTTTGCTCTTTTTGGGTCACACCTGGTGTTGCACAGGGTTTTCTCCTGGCTCTGCACTCAGGAATTACTCCTGGTGGTGCTCAGGGGACCATATGGGATGCTGGGAATTGAACTCTGGTCAGCCTTGTGCAAAGTGAACGCCCTACCTGCTGTGCTATCTCTCCAGCCCCTGCCTCCTACTTTGAACCCTATCAAATGATGTCACCAAATTCTTAATCTGAACATCATCCATTATCAGTGCTTATCCTTCACGGCATCACGGTCCTTCCGTTGTTCATCGATTTGCTCGAGCGGGCCCAGTAATGTCTCCATTGTGAGACTTGTTATTGTGTTTGGCATATTGAATACGTCACAGGTAGCTTGCCAGGCTTTGCCGTGCGGGCAGGATACTCTTGGTAGCTTGCCGGGCTCTCTGAGAGGGGCAGAGGAATTGAACCTGGCTTGACCGGGCCGGTTGCACATAAGGTAAACGCTGTACTGCTGTGCTATTGCTCCTGCCCAGTGCTTATCCTTAAAATGTAAAAGTGAAGATCATGAAGAAACTATGTTATTTGTTTAAGCCAGTAGATGTGAATACAGTCTTCTAAGACCCTGGGGACAAGAGCTTCAATTCTGTTGGGGAAAGTAGCCAACTTCCCCAAATTGAACATTTAAAAAAATTCTTGCTGACTTGATTATGACTTTTAAAAATAAGAACTCAGAATCTCTATTTGCTTAAAGTTATTTATTTTTTGGGGAAGGGAAGGGGACACACCCAGCTGGCTCAGGGCTTACTCCTGGTTCTGCTCAGGGACCTCTCCTGGCTCTGTGCTTGGGGTTACTCCTAGCAAGACTCAGGGAGCTATATGAGGTGCCAGAGATTGAACCTGGGTCAGCCATGGGCAAGGCAAGTGTCTTACCTGCTATACCTTTGCTCTGGCACTTCATCCAGTTCTGATTTTGTTTTTGAGCCACATCATCTAAAATATATCATTTAGTGTTTGTCAGTATAGAAAAATATTTTTAAATATTTAAAATATAAAAAAGTATTAAAAAGTATAGTATAAAATGTATCATTTAGTGTCTTTCAGTTTTTCAATACACAACTATCACCACAATCGATTTTATTACTGTCCTGTGCCCCTACCCAACACCCCATCCTCTGGGCAGTCACTCATCCCTGACTCCTTCCTACCCCCAGACCCACTTTCCAGTTGTAGATTGACATACTCTCCACATGACATCCAAATGGGGCGGGGCGCTGAGATAGGAGAGTGGAATAGGGTGTTTGCCTTGTGTGTGGCCAACTCAGTTTTGACCATGTGCAAGAACCCTGGGATCTCCCTCTGGTCTCCTGAGCACTATCAGGAGTTATCCCTGAGCTCAGAGCCAGGACTAAGTCCTGAGCACCAGTGAGTGTGGCCCCCAAACAAAACACAGCAAAGGGGGTCATACAATGTGTGGACTTTTGAGACTCAGCCTGTAGGCACAAGAACATGTCCACCCTCTTAGCAGCCTTCTTTCCAAAGAACCCCAAAGTAGAATCAGCCTCGTGTCTATTAAATAAATAAGAAGTGGGCCCATAAAACAGCATGCACCAGGGTTGTGTCTCAGAGGTAAAGTGCCTTGTGTTCACGAGACCTCAGTTTGGTCTGATCACCACAGAACAAATAAATGCAATAACCCATTCAATGGAGTGTCTTTTGGCCACTGAAGGAAATGAGTACCAACAGATACTACATCTAAACCTGGAAACAAGCTGTCCCTTTTCAATGTCAGGGTAGCTTGTGGCTTGCCCTGGGTCCATCCAAGTCCCTCACTGGAAACCTCCTTTTGGGGCTGTTAGGAAGTAAGGGCAACTGAGGCTTACGTCAAGTGAAAATATGATGGATACCCAGGAGTAAATATTATTTGGAGTCAGTTAACTCCCATGTTACAAAAGCATACATCAATTGTCTTCCAGTGTCTATACAAAAAGGGCATTGCTATACCATGCAAAGGACATAAAGAAAAGAGAAAAGCAATATAGGATTATTAATGCCTGATGGTATTGGGTGTGCCTCGGGAGCACTGTGGTGGGAGTAACTCAATAAACCTAAACTCCCTGTGGGAGGAGCAAGGACAAACCAGTGTTATCCAACAGACCCTTACAAAGCTGTTCATGATTAGATGTCAGTCATACAGTGTTCCAGCACCCATCCCTCACCAGTGTACATTTCCTGCACCAGAGTCCCCAGTTTCCCTCCCATCACCCCTACCCCACCCCCGTCTGCCTCTACGCAAGCACTTTTCTTCTCTCTCTGTCTCTGTCTCTCTCTCCTTTTGGGCATTGTGGCCAAGACTAGTCTTGCTCCCCCAGGTTATCCCAGCACCCCTAGGGGGCAGTATCGTCCACTGCGGGGAACACAGCAGACAGTAAAAAAATCCCGTATATACTACTTTTAAGCTCACTTCTGAAAGTTCAATTTTCCATTCCCACTGTACATTTTCCTCCTCGGCCCCAAATGGCACTTTAAGTCATCTGATACAAGAGAAATCAAAGATTTTTAAATCTTTGCCAAGTCTTGGTCTGAGTTCTACTTGTTAACTTTGGTTTCTTGTAGTTCCAGTGAAAGAAACATCCAGCAACTTTTTGGGTTGTATAGTCAAAGGTGCTTGAGTCATTGGCATGTGAGATCAATATACCTGCATGTTAGTCTTAAGTTCTGATAGAAATGACATGCAGTTATGCTGCCATTCTTGACTATCAGGACGTGACTGGTGTGAGGATACTAATGATGAAAATTTCTGCTTGGCAATGGCAGAAGTTAAGTCTCCCATATTCTATAGAGGGATTATGTAACGTAAAAGAAATAGAGTTTAGAACCTCACGAAATAAATGCTTACCTCTTTACTGAAAAAAAAAATCTTTGCCAGAACTTTAAAAGGTGTGAAGGTTTTTTTGGGGGTGAACTCAAGAAGTTCTACATACTTTGAATGGTTGAGAATTTTAAGTATGTATATTGAAAGCTCACAATGGAAAGTATTATTGCATTCCTTTTCATAAAGGAAAGATTTCCCCCCCCCTCACTTGTTTGATCAGTGAATTTTGCATGTTTTCTTTGAAATATTTTTTTATTTAATTAGATCATGGTCACGGTCACAGTCCTCCCGTTGTTCATCAATTTGCTCAAGCGGGCCCAGTAACATTGTGAGACTTGTTACTATGTTTGGCATATTGAATACATCACAGGTAGCTTGCCAGGCTCTGCCGTGTGGGCGAGATACTCTCGGTAGCTTGCCGGGCTCTCCGAGAGGGGCGGAAGAATCAAACTCGGGTTGGCCATGTTAGCTGCGTGCAAGGCAAACGCCCTACCCATTGTGTTATCGCTCCAGCCCTTAATTAGATCATAATTAACAAACTTATTGATAGTTGAGTTTTAGGCTTGTAATATTTCAACACCGATTCCACCACCATTGCAAAGTCCCTCCACTTCCATCCCCCCCCTCGCCACCTTAACAAACACGTTACAAAGTTCTATGGTTGCGGCTTAGATCTCATGTTTATCTGTTATTTTTATTTTTAGCTTTGATTTTGTTTTTTTTTGCTTATAAGTGTAGTATATTGGGGCTGGAGAAATAGTATAGAGATTAAGGTACTTGCCTGACATGGGGCCAAACCCGGTTCAATCCCGCCGAGCACCCCACCCCTCACCCCCACCCCCACAGAAGTCTACTGTCTTAAACCATCTTTATTACTCAGTGAATTGTATCATGAAGAGATGTGTTTAAGTAATACTCATATTTTATTTACTTATTTATTTATTGCTTTTGGGGGGGGGGCTGGAGCAATAGCACAGCAGTAGGGCGTTTGCCTTGCATGCTGCCGACTCGGCCGACCCAGGTTCAATTTCTCCGCCCCTCTCAGAGAGCCCGGCAACTTATCAAGAGTATTTCGCCCGCATGGCAAAGTCTGGCAAGCCACTCGTGGTGTATTTAATATGCCAAAAACAGTAACAAGTCTCACAATGGAGACGTTACTGGGCCCGCTCGAGCGAATCAATGAACAATAGGAGGACCGTCTACCGTGCTAATTTGGGGATCACATCTGGTCATGCACAGGGGTTACTCCTGACTCTGCATTCAGAAATTATTCCTGGCAGTGCTCGGAGGACCGTATGGGATGCTGGGAATCGAACCTGGGTCGGCCAAGTGCAAGGCAAACACCCTACCTGCTGTACTATCGGTTCAGCCCCTGGCCATGGATTCTTACTCGGGCCCCTTGAGACCGTTTTTCCCCAGGGAACACAGAGCACCTTACCTGCTGTGCCATCGCTCCAGCCCCAATACTCATATTTTAAATAGTACAGCGTGTTGGAACTTGGAGCTTCGGTAGGAGATGCCATGTCCAAACTTTTGCAGCCTGTGAAAGGTGAACCTTGGGGAAAAGATCTTTGCACGTATCTGTAAGTTAAAGATCTCCAGCATCCCTAGCTAGACCAAACATGATTGCCACCCATTGCCTCTTTTGCAAACCACAACACCCAATAGGAGAGAGAGAACAAAAGGGAATGCTACAGAGGCAGGGTGGGATGGGGGGGATGGGGGGTGGGAGGGATACTGGGATCCATGGTGGGGGGAAATGGGCACTGGTGGAGGGATGGGTATTTGATTATTGTAGAGTTGAAACCCAAGCACAAAAATTTATAAGTCTACAACTGTACCTCATGGTGTCTCACTAATAAAATTTAAAAAAAAAACCATAAAAAAAAGATCTCCAGATGAGATCACCTTGAAGCATGCAACGTGCTTGACATCTGGTGACAAGTGTCCCTGTGAGGGACCAGGGAAGGGTGGGGGGAACAGTTCCATGAAGGTGAGGCACAGCCAGCAGCTAAGGAGAAACTGGAGGCTCCAGAAACTAGAAGGGGCAAAAGTGAGCCGTGTTCGGGGTCCCAGAGCTCTTGCCTTCGGACAGCCTGCCCTGGATTGAGAAAATACATTTCTCTCCTCAGCTATCACACTTGGCAGCCCGAGGATACTAATACGAAGAGGCTGCTGCTGGTTTACTGGGTTTGGAAAATGAAAACTTCTCAAATAGTGGGGGTATTAAAGTTTTATTTTTCCTGCTCTGTGAATTGCTGGATGATCTACACAACTCACACACAGGTCCCCCAACACAAGCTCCATGGGCGGGGTGGGGGGGCGTCAGGCAGCCTCTCTTTACCTCACAATCCCTGCCATTCCCCTGAACTTCGGTGTTTTGCTTTTCTTTCACTACATGTTCTTTGCCTGTGAGTTCCCATCCCCTTCTGTTATGAATTTCCGATTCCTGCTTAGTCTTCTCTTCCAACTCCACTGTGATCTTTTGGTACTTACCCCCTTCGATGGCCAGGACCAGGGTCCCCAGTCAATCTGTACTGGCATTCAGGAGTTATGGAAAAACCCAAACCAAAGCAATCTGACCCAGAAGAGTGCCAAGAACTGGGTTGGAGCGATAGTATAGTGGGTAGGGCATTTGCCTTGCATGTGGTCAACCAGGGTGCAATCCCTGGCATCCCATATGGTCCCCCGGGCATGACCAGGAATAATTCCTAAGTGCAGAGCTAGGAGTAATCCTGGAGCATTGTTGGGTGAGAGAGAGCACAAGCGCATGCAGAATCAGACTCAATAGCACCAGAGTAAAACTGAACAAGTAGAAGGTAGCATGAGGAAGGGAGTAGGACCGCTCAACAGGCCCACAGGCCACTAGGGTCAGCCATAGAGCTGCCCTCCCCCACCCCAGGAGGAGCCTGGGAGTCCTTGGAGAGTATGAGCAGGAATCCAGTCTAAGCAAATAATGGTCCACTGAGAGCGGTAAAGTCCACTTAGCTCCAGAAAATGATGGCTACTGGCCCCAAGAAACCAGGGTTGTCAGCCTCAGTTTGTTCCAAAGAAGCCGGGCATCAAAACCCCAGCAGCCAACAACTTCCAGAACTTAGTGAGAAGTGCAGGTACACGGGTTCAGTGATGGCAAACTCCAGGCCCTCAAGGGATAGGGGATGGGCTGGTCCCTCTCATTCCCACATCCCCATAGGACCCTGGATGTCACGCCCACAAACTGCCTCCTTGCTGCTACTTAAGCTCCTTAATGGCTATGATTCAGAGGCACACAAAAGAATCTCTGAACCGAGCAGCTGGCTGAAGAGATTTCTCCAGAACCTAATTATCTAAGATTTTAGAATTCCAGGACATCTTATGCTATTCATAACAAGCTATACAAAAGCGAGTATGGTAAAGATTGTCTGCCATAGAGACAGGGAAAGGGGTGGGATGGGGAAAGGATACTGGGGACATTGGTGGTGGAAGATGTGCACTGGTGGAATGTGCACAATGTGATCATTGTGACTAAAACACAGGAAGACTTTGTCACTGTATCTCATGGTGATTCAATAAAAAATAAAGAAATAAATAAAATTCACATTCTGAATAAAAAAAAGTAGCGTGGAGTTCATGCCCAATTCAATCAGCTTAATCACTGGCTGAATAAATAGCAGTACTTCTACATTTAAAAAAAAGCTGGGCATCTGCATTTTCCTACAAATCTTACCCAAAAATAATTCATAGTAGAGAAACAAAACAAATCCTCAGGACCACAAATTACATGTATAGTTGTGTACATGTATGACTCCAAGCAAAAGTTTACTAGATCCCACTTGATCCCATTGTGTTTGCGAACTTTCTTTTACAGTGTAAAGGTGGGAGAGAGAATCCCTCCATATTCCAACTATCTTTGGGGCTCTATAAAGATGGCCATCCCCAACTGCTAGATAAAACAGAGGGTCATCACAGGGTTGACTGTTTATTGAGTCAGCTTGAATGGAGATAACAGTCCAGAGGCAGTTGAACATGTTAAATATTTTATTCACATTGTTTACAAACTATATCCACCTGGAAAACACATGAATCCAAAAATAGATTATTTTACAATCATTCACATTTTTTTAAAAGTTACTTTTGACCTTAAACTCTAGCAGGACATTCTCAGTCTTGACACGTGGCACTTCCTGCTCCCGTGAGGTCAGAGTCCAGGAGGCTGTCCACCTAGGTGAGGGCACTAATGGCTTCCCCGCCGGTGGCTGGTAGGGAAAGGTCAGTGCAGACTTTAACCGTGAACAGTTCACATGGTTCACTGTCGCTATTTTTCTCTTTTTGTCAAGGAAATATGTGTTTGAGAGCATGAGTACGGATCAGGTAGGAAGACACAATAAAAGACACTCATTGTTGACTTGGCCATTACAAAGACAGCAGATTGTGTCCAGGTCTACAAAGACCTAAGGTCTTGGTCGTAAGAGAAAATCCACTAATTACAACTGTATGGTGTTGACAGCTAGAATCACACGAGGAGCTGTGCTTTGGGTCTATTGGCTTTCTGCATATTGAATGCCCTCCCCCGCCCATGGGTAGAAGAAGGGCAGTGAACTCAGAATTGTGATGTGCCTCAATGAAGCATGTCACTATAGGACAAGGGCCACGGGACTTTTGCCAAGTGGCCCAAAAGTGGTTAAAAACCTTACAATGAACCTCTGTTACAGCCAGTCTCTCACCTTGATGCCTTCGCTCTTTCATTACTTAAGAAACTTCTGTTTGAAATCTGACATTCACAATTTAGCATCTACAGTTTGTTGGTTTACCCACATCTCACCCCTTCCTACTAGGTCAACTACAAACTACTCACGTCCCCCCTCTTTTCTGCTGCCACTAACTGTGAGAAAACACGTGAACACGTGAACCTGTGCATTGGAAACCCGAAGGAGACTCATGGCAGAAAGGGGAATTTTTTTTCTCTCTCTCTCTGTGCAGCACCCCTGGCATAATGGTTCTGCAACACTTGACTAGGGAAATGCGTTTGATCGAGACATCACAAAAGATCATCTCCTCCTCCCCTCTGCTTAAAAAAAAAAAAAAGACGGTCTCAGGGGTTGTAACCACCACCCCCAGCAGACAACAACTCTGAATCCAAATGTAAGCTGAGATGTGGAGAAATTTTATCAGCACGTTTGCAGGTTTCAAAACAAAACAAAACAAAGACTTTCAAATGTCTATTGCAATCGGATTGTTTCAAAAGACAGAAATCCATAAAAGGAACTTGAGCCGGGAGGCGATCATAACTTCTCTTCCTGCCACCCGTGGGCATTTTTTCCAAATTTATACACTAACCTTCGGTCGACCCGTTCCAAAATCCCTGTTTTATAGTAGTACCTGTGAGAGAGAAAGAGAGAGCAGAAGAGAAAGAAGGGGCAGAAGAGGGTCTGGCACTCCGGAGAAACAACAGGATAACCCACACTCTCCTCACCCCTCTCGGGTGACAGGTAGCTTGAGGCTTACTCGGTATTTTCACACCCTATTATCAACTTACACATAAACCTTTCCCAGACAGCTTTCAGGCTGAACCTCACCAGATTCCATTAAAAACATATATGGAGTGAGTGTTTGTGGGATCACTCTGAACCCCACCATTATCACACACACACACATACACACATACACACACACACACATACCCCTTTTAATGACACCTGGTAAGCTTCACCCTGGAAGCTGTGTGTGTGTGTGTGTGTGTGTGTGTGTATGTATGTATGTGTGTGTGTGTGTGTGTGTGTGTTATGTGGGGTTTACAGTGATCTCGTGGGGAATACTGCCAAACAGGTAGGCACTGTCGAGTTACAAAGCATAATCCCACCAGTAACTAAGAACCAAGGTTTTGTCTTCGGATCTTTGGGCAATCACGTGGCCTCTGCATCACTGTCTGATGTTGGCCAATTTATATAACTCTGTGGGGAGCTAGGGCTCCCGGGGTGGGGGCTAGGGGCGGGGGAGGGGGTGGCACTCACCTCAGGGCTCTGCTCAGCTTTTCGTAGGTCATTCTGTCATTTTTCTTCCTTTGTCCCCACATCTTGGCCAGAGCTTCCGATTTAACCACCCGGAAAATGCCTTGCTCCCTATCTTCCCACTCCAGAATGCCACAGTTTTCCTCTGGAGATAGCAGCAGATCACGCACAAATTCCCAGAGATGCGAACTTTGGAGGCCTTTGGCCAAAGGGGGCAAAAAAAAAAAAGAGTTAATTTCCGGGGTGTTTTTAAATTCTAAGACAAGAGGTGCCTAACTTGCTCAGCCAAGAGGACAGCTGCTCGTGGATTCTTTTGCGATGGTTAAGGTAGGGCACCGTCCTTGGGAGGGTAGCACAGTCTGGGGGTGTTTCAGCCTCTGGGAAGGGACTTCTGGATCTCAAACTCTGGGGCAGCCACCTGGACCCCCTTCGCCAGGGCTCCAGAATGTTCTGTGGAACCATGGACTCGTTCCATTGCTGTGAACCGAGTCAAGTGACTGGGGCAAGGACCCTTGAAATCCTCCACAGGTGGCAGATGGTCCTGGGCTGCATAGTTATCTGAAAGGACCCACCCCTGGCTATGTTTCCCATGAACAATTGTTCATGGCCTCTGTGGGGTTCATGACAGCCTCCGGGTATGGACCCGAAATTCATTTTTTTCAATATCCCTCCCCCTATCTCTCTAGGGACCTTGCATGTTAAAAGAGAGTCAACGTACCAATTCTTTCACAGAGGCTATCATTTAATAAATGTATGGCAGGTGGCTGGATCCACAGGTTTCTGAACGGGTTTGAGTTTGGGTTTGGGGGTAGCTACCCAAGTGCCAACCCTGGGGAAACTCAGTTCGCCAGCAGCCCAAGAGAAATGCGCTCTCCTGAGAGCTCTCCTCCCTCACATCCCTTGTGATGATACCTTTTCCAAATGAAAAAGAAATTGATTTTGATCATATCTGTGTACATGAGCATTCGATTCTCTAACACCTTCTTTGGGAGGTGGTGGTCCCTTCCCCCCACAATATGTAGTATCAAAACTTATCAAAATCTACTTTGCCAATTGGTGTCGGGAGAGAGGTGCACAGGGGACTTTCTGGGACATAGGAGTGATGACAATGAAATGCATGCATGAAGTCACCCCACCACTATGGCTTTGTCAACCATCGACAAATCACCAAGTCCCAACTAAACTTAAAAAGAAAGTGAAGGGGCCAGAGTTATAGTACAGAGGGTAGGGCATTTGCCTTACACATGGCCAACCCAGATTCGATCCCCAGCATCCCATATGGTGCCCCAAGCACTGCTAGAAGTAACTCCTGAGAGCAGAGCCAGGAGTAACTCCTAAGCAACGCCAGGTGTGACCCCAAAAGAAAAAAAAAGTGAAAACGGTCCTCCTGCACTTACTTGTTCGCCCGTGACCGTGGCAGTCCTGGCTTTTGATGCCACTTGTCTTCAAGCAACTGGAGTCGGCATCTGCAACAACAGAGTGATTTTTTTAACAGTCAGACAGTCTCAGGAGGCCACGAGACAGGTAAGAAGGTGCCAATGATATTCAAGGAGTAGCAGAACACCTTTTGGATAGAAAGCATGCTGCTGTGTGTTTTTGGTCATAATTAGTCAAGGGAAGAAATTAAGATGCCAAAGTCCTGGCACTTGTCTTTAAAACACGTTGATATTGCCATTTGTGTTGATTAACGTCACACATCCCTGTGTGCCAGCGGCGGTATATGCCGGCATCAATGTGATCAGGATGTTTGTGTCAACATTGCTGTGTGCCAGGTTCTGGGCTCCGAGCTAGAAGACAAGAGTGAGCATGCAGATGTGTTTCCCGCTTCTGGGGATGTGAAGGCCTCATGAGTAAAGCTAAATACAAGCATGACAGACAAATGACCCTTTGCTTTACATGTGGGGAGGAAGGCAAGATGCTAGATAGAGGTGAGGAAAATATTGACTCAAGGAAGGGTATGTGTGTGGGGTGGGGACTGGAGGGGCGTGGTACTACTTGGCTAAGATGCCAAGGGAGCAAGTGAGGAGGTGGGAAAGAATGTTCCAGCTGAGGAAAGCCACGGCATGCTGCCAAGTGGGGTGGGCCCTTTTGGTGCCAGGGGAGAGTGGTGGTTGGGATGCTGGGGTGGAGGGTGGGGGCGTGTCCATGTCCAACTAGTCTTCCTTGCGAGGGACAGAAAGGACTTGGGGCTTTTTTTCTCAGAGCATAAAATAGAACTTGGGAGTTTTACAAGACCCACATTTTAAGAAGGGCATCTGGTTAATGTGTGGAAGACTTACTGGACAGAATGCTAGGAAAAGCAAAAGCAAGAGACCAGGGTGTTTGGGTCAGAGAAGGCCAGGTATAAACACACAGGCGCTCAACTCTGGCATGAGGACCCGCCCAAGACATGACAGACAGTGACACCCAAGACAGTGATTCAACTCAAAGCAACCTGAGATGTAAAAAAGTTGGTGCTCGGCTCAGTCCCCTGCCAGTCCCCCTGTGCACTCTCATTCTGTCCCCATGGCCTCCTGGTGTTTTCTGAAACTCAAGCACGTTCCACCCCAGGGTCCTTGCACCTGCATTCTTTCCTGGCGTGTTGTTTCTCCTCTCAAACTCTGCTTCTCATGAAGGTGCTCTCTAATTGCCTGAGCTCTCTGACATTCTCTGATCACATCCACATACTCCTAAATATCCTCAACACCAATTTTAATACTATTATTATAATAATCATCATCATTATTATGATTATTTCCATAACACTGATCTCTACTGAACCTATTCCTTTTATGTTTGTTTTTTTTTGGGGGGGCATGTCTGACTATACTTGGGGCTTTCTCCTGGCTTTTTGCTCAGAGATCACTCCCGGCCAGGCTTAGGGGAGCGTCTGGGGTGGCTGGGATTGAACCCAGGTTGGCCACATGCAATGCAACAAGTACCTGATCCACTGTATTATTTCCCTGGCCCTATCAAGCTATTCTATAAAATATCGATGGGTTTACTTTGCTATCTCAAGAGGGACTTGTGTTTAGATAACCCATGCATCCCACCTGCATCCAGTGTAGGGCTTGGTGCACAGTAGGTACTTGATCTTACTGAGTAGACATTAGAATTGATATGCTTAGCCACCTAGCAATAGCCTTACCTACTGGACAGTCCAGTAGCTCTGATATGGTAGAAGTATGCCAGCGAGGAAAGGGAGGTGGTCTGGCTACCACACAGCTGCCCCCTGGCCTGCCCTAGTGCCATCAGACCATGGGGCTCCCTGGCTGAACAACCTTTAGGGCTTGGCACCCTCCTGATGCTAGGATGAAAGCTCCCCTCTTGGGCTGGAGCAATAGCACAGCGGGTAAGGTGTTTGCCTTGCACGTGGCCGACCTGGGTTTGATCCCCAGCATCCCATATGGTCCCCTGAGTACCACCAGAGGTGATTCCCGAGTGCAGAACCAGGAGTTACCCCTGTGCATCACCAGGTGTGACCCAAAAAGCAAAAAAAAAAAATAAAATAAAAAAAAAAAGCTCCCCTCTTACTCCAGCCTTTCACAGGCTGGCTCTCAGCATCCCTACCTTCCTTCCAGCTGCTCTCTATTTTTTTAGGGTTAGAGGGTGGCCGGGGGGCTGGTTTCCTCCTGCTCTCTGCCTCTGCTCTGTGTTCTGGGTGCCACCCCCCACCCCGCACCTTTGTAGGAGTCTTCTCCATGCTCAGCCTTTGCAGCAAGTCTCTGCAACCTCTGCAACCAAGGTCCTGCTCTGCCCAAAGCACCTGAGTACCCTGACCTCACAGTGGTGGGAGGAGGCATTCTAGTGTCAGAAGTTGGGGCTCTTACCCCCCTCCCCCATAAGAGCCAACATCTATGGAGGCCTTCCTAAGGGCCCAAGTATGCACCAAGTGCCTTGCGTTCAGGTTCTCATTTAGCCCTTTCCACACCCTGTATTATTAGGATTTATTGCTATTTATTTATTTATTTTTTGCTTTTTGGGTCACACCCGGCAATGCACAGGGGTTATTCCTGGCTCTGCACTCAGGAATTACTCCTGGCGGTGCTCAGGGAACCATATGGGATGCTGAGAATCGAACTCAGATCAGCCGCATGCAAGGCAAATGCCCTACCCGCTGTGCTATTGCTCCAGCCCCTATTGCTATTTATTAATAAGAAAGTAAATCTATTTATTTGGAGCTCCTGAGCAATGCTCAGGGGACCAGGATCACTCCTGGGGAGACTTGGCCACCAGGAACGGAGGTTCCATGCTTCAGTCTAGGTCCAAGAGCCCCAAGGGCCTTCAGAGTCATACACAAGAGTGCTGGGGGCGAGGCATGCCGAGGATCAGTCTCAGGGGCTGGCTTCTAAGCCATCTCCTGAGCCTGGCTGTTTGCCTTGTACCGAGGAAGGATCCAAAGCACAGAGAGTTGGAGTTTTCTCCAGTGCGGTGGAGCAGGACCTGAGCCCGGTGCAGTTTGGCTTCAAAGTCCGCGTCAACAACAGCTGCTGAACTGTCTTTCCTGGTAGGTGCTCAGCAAACACATGGGGTGTTTCTGGAACATGTTTGCCATCCCCAGGAGCTCACTCATCTTTGGGGTGCACAACTAGAACTGTTCCCCTTCCACTACATGTTACAAAGTGGGGGTGTGGAGTGGGTGGGTGCTCTTGCTAGGTAGTCCACCCCCTGGCTGGTAAGAACTGAGCTCTGCGGTGCCCACAGTATGAGGGATTGGAGGTGCAGCCCCAAACAAGTCCTAGCCCAGGGCATGGTCTCCTTAGGCGGGGGAACAGTCATTGAAAAGCCAGCCAGAAATGTTGAGTGGTGGTGAGTGATTTGGAGGCAACGGAGAGAGTAAGGGAGAGTGGGAGAGTAAAGTCACAATTTTTTTTTTGGCCACATCTGGTGATACTCAGGGTTAACTGCTGGCTCTGTGATCAAGAGTTACTTCTGGAAAGCTTGGGGGACCATATGGCGTGCCAGAATCAAACTGGGTTTGTGCAAGGCAAATACCTGCTGTACTATGGCTCTGAAACCCATTTCTTTCTTTTTTTTTTCTTTTTTGGGTCACACCTGACAATCCTGGTTCTGCACTCAGGCATTACTCCTGACATTGCTCACAGACCATATGGGATGCTGGGGATTGAACTTGGGTCAGTCGCATGCAAGCAAACGCCCTACCCACTGTACTATCTCTCTCTCTCTCTCTTTCTCTCTCTCTTTGTGTAGGTGAGGCAGTGAGGATGCAGCTGGAAGTACTCAGGGCTTACTCCACAATCTCTACTTGGGGATCACTCTTGGAAAGACTCAGGGAACCATATGTGATGTCAGAGATTGAACTGGGGTTGGCCACTTGCAAGGCAAGTGCCCTACTTGCTGTACTATTGCTCTGGCCCCAACAAAGTTACAATATTTTTTGTTTATTTATTTATTTATCTGCTTTTCGGGTCACACCCAGTGACATTCAGAGGTTACTCCTTACTCTGCACACAGGAATTACTCCTGGTGGTGCTCAGGGGACCATATGGGATGCCGGATATTGAACCAGGGTTGGCCGTGTGCAAGGCAAACACCCTCCCCACTGTCCTATAGTTTTGGCCCCCAAGTTGCAGTTTTAACTGATAGGGTGGCTGATAGGGTGAGGATGGTCTCTTGACAGGGAGGCATCAGAGCTGGGGTACAGGAGTAGAGTGAGCCCTGGGAATGTTTGGGGGTTCACAACCCCAATATGGGCCCAGTTGCTAGTGGTTCTGTCTTCACTCCAACCCTGAGAAGAGAGCGAATGAGGGGAAGGAGGACCTGGAGCTTTGGGGGTCCCTGACTCTGGGGTCTGTCTCTGTACCATCAGGCGTGGAGGAAGTGGTGAGTGTTGTGCACAGCATGACAGCAGATGAGCGGGGCAGCAGCCAAGGCTCCCTGAGCATTCTGTCCCATCTGTGTGACCCAAGGCCTCCTCCACAGCTGCCCTGGCCATTGTTCCCACTTCCCCTTTGAAGAGGAGAGTGACCCACAGCTGCAGAAGAGAAACAAAGGTGAATAGATGGCAGAAAGGCCAAAGGCAACAGGAATAGTCGCCCTTTCTGCTCCCGAGTCCCTTCAGATGCTTCTGTGGCCTGGCTCTGGGGCTGACAGATTAACCCAGCACAGGCAGAGTGAGGCGCGGGGTGACTAAGGGGCTCTTATCCTTGGGGGGGAGGAGGTGTCTGGCCTGAGACAGTCTCGTTTTCATTGCGGAGGCTCTTCTGAACATTCTCATAGTTGGCTGCCGTTGGAGGCCTTGCTGGTTAGGGGCAGGGAGTGGCATCAAGATAGGTCTGAAGCCATCACAGAGCTATCCCAGAGGAAAGATGGTTCTCCCCTTCATCCTTGCTCATGGGATCCCGCCAGTCAAAACTCTGTGACAGACCCCAGCATCTCATCCTTTACATTTTATTTTTGATTTTTTTTTTTGCCATACCCAGTGGTGCTCAGGGGTTACTCCTGGCTCTGCACTCAGTCAGGGGACCATATGGGATTCTAGGGATTGAATCTGGGTCAGCTGCATGCAAGGCAATTGCCCTACCTGTTGTGTGATCACTCCAGCTCCTGCAACCCTTTCATTTTGTTTCTTCTTCCCACCACCCTCTCCTATCCCGCCTGCAGACAGGCCTGAGAGTGAAGCCTAAGGCCTGGATTCCCACTTAGACTCCCCAAGTTCTTAGGGTTGGGGGTGCATATCTATGGCTGACGCTAGTGGCCTGCAGGCCTGATAAACTTCCTTCTCCTGGAAGGTGGTGCACTCGCCTTGCATGCACGAGTCCTGGGTTCAAGCCCCTCAGCCCTGACCCCAGCCCCTTAGGGACCCATTTTCCCACCCATGATTGACAACACAGACTCACTGGGCAGGGCAGCCCAAGCTTGGCATAATCCTACCAGCCGCGGCTGGGAACTAGGTCACCTCAGGCCCAATCAAGGTGAATGACAGTTGTGAGACCATCCCTGCCACGTTTTGGGCGCCAGATCCTACCTCTGAACACCACCAGGGAGTGGAGGGAGTAAGGCTGGGTGTGCGGGAGGAGGCTTCTGTATCATAGGGGTCCTTGGCCTGGGGGTGCAACACGATGAGCCACAGAGGGTAAAGAGCCCCCGGGGTGGCACATGGCAGGGCTCACTGGCTCAGTAAGTGTTGGCTTTGACTCGCCATAAATCTATGAAGAGGTGAGTGAATAGATGAACCCCCTATCCCCAAGAAAGAATGAAGAGATTAAGGGATCAAGAAAACCCTGCAGCCATCTGCATGCCTCACTGGTTACCTAAACTCTAAGCTTCCCTCCCTCCTCCTCTGAGAAGCTCATGCCTGTCTCCCTGGTTTGAGACAACTGACTGACAGCTTGGGACCAGGTGGATAAAGGTGCTAGAACGGCCAGGATCATAGGAAGCTCCTCCGAAAGGTGCAATAAATGCCGGCTGTTTTATTCCTCTGACTGCTGTGGCAGCATTGACTCTCTGGGCTGTTCTTTTTTCTTTTTATTTGGAAATGCCCAGGGAATACTCCTGGCTCTGCACTCAGGAATCACTCTATAATCACTCCTAGGGAACCGTATGGGATGCTGGGGATTGAACCCGGGTCTGCTGCATGCAAGGAAGGCAGCCTACCCACTGTACTACTGCTTTGTACCAAATTGGGCTGTTCCATGTGCAGGGAACACCTGCAAACACTGTGGGTGTGCAGTCTCTCTCCCTGCCTTCTCCGCTTCCATCTCCCCATTTCCCAGGGGGGAAGAGACATTTGCTACAGGTGCAGAAACTGACCCTGGGAAGGGTTGGTCAAGGCCTGTCTCTGGGACTGGGAGGACAGTGAATTCCTGCCTTCAGACACATGCTCTGCGATGCCCTCAGTGGCCTCCCTGGGTAAGATCCTTTGCTTGGGTGGGGCTGGTGCTGACAGCTGGGGTCCTCCCCCGAGGCTGCTGCAGAGGGATACAGTGTGTGGCCCCAATCAGGGAACCCCCAAGGTAACAGCTGGGTGAGGGCAGCTGAGGGCTGAGGGCCTGGCTCACAGAGGTGAGCCTGGAGTCTGTGGTGCCCAGGAGTTTTAACCTGGATCAACCCCCCTGCACTAACCAAGTCATTCTCACTCTGAGAATTTTGTTTTGTTTTGTTTTGGGGTCACACCTGGAAATGCTCAGGGGTCACTCCTGGCTCTGCACTCAGGAATTACTCCTGGCAGTGCTCAGGGCACCATATGGGATGCTGAGGATCGAACCCAGGTCAGATGCATGCAGGGCAGACACCTTTCCCTCTCCGTACTATCACTCTGGCCCCTGAGAATTTCATTTAAAGTTTTGTTTTTTCTTTCTTTCAGGTTTTTGAGCCATAGCCAATGGTGCTCAGGGCTTACTCTTTATTTATTTTGTTTTTATTTTTGTTTTGGGGCCACACCCGGTGGTGCTCCTGGCTTATTCCTGCCTCTGTGCTCAGGAATCATTCCTAGTGGGCTCTAGGGACCATATTGGGTGTGGGGGATGGAATCCAGGTTGACTGTGTGCATGGCAAACACCCTCCCTGCTGTGCTATCTCTCCAGCCTCTTTGGATTACTCTTAGTTCTGTGCTTAGGGCCCCTCTTGGTGGTGTTCAAGGGGATGCTATGCACAACTAAAAACCGAACAGGGGTCAGCCATGTACAAGGCAAAGGGATGAACTCCTGGACTTTCTCTAACCCTTTAATTTTTTTTAGAAGAGGAACAATCAGTGCTAAGAAATGTTTTCTCTCTGTCTGCCCTCAGCTTGGACCTCTCAGAGGTCAGAGAAGTTGTCACGCACCCCGTCCTCCTTAGTAGAGGAATGAATGGACATGCAGGGAGGGAGGGGCTGCAAGGAACCCAGGTGAACAGCTGGGTCAAGACATTTGTGTGGGGCATAGTAGTTCATAGTCATCATTGCCACCATAGTTACCACTATCATCATCACGGTCATCATCACCATCCAACATCATCATCATCATTGTCACCATCATCATCACCATCAGCACCATATTCATCACCATCATCATTACCATCATCACCATCATCATCATTATCACCATCATCACTATCACCATGATCATCACCATCCACCATCATCACCATCATCATCACTATCATCACCATAGTCATCACCATCATCTCCATCACCATCATTACCATCATCACCATCATTACCATCACCATCATCATCACCATCACCATTACCATCATTATCACTATCATCATCACCATCATCACCATCACCATCATCACCATCACCATCATCATCATTACCATCATCATCATCATCATCACCATCACCATCATCATCATCACCATCATCACCACCATTATCATCATCATCATCATCATCACCATCACCATCACCATCATCACCATCATCACCACCATCACCATCACCATCATCACCATCATCACCACCATCATCAGCATCATCATCATCATTACCACCATCATCAGCATCATCATCTTAAAAAACCATTCCCAACATTTCCTTTTCTAAACCTGAAACAGTGGAACCTCGAGGGTTAACCGTCAGAGTCAACAGAACCTTCCATCACAAGGTAACTCTACACCAGCCCTCCTCCTGAGAGCTCAGATTCTTTCTATCTCAGCAGCAGGGCCAGAGCTGGGCAGGGGGCAGTGATGATGCCTGCTAATGGATGCCAGCCTTGGAGTAGCTTTGCTGTAGGCCCATGGACACTGGGTGGCCACTGTTTTGGGAACTCTCCTCGTGAGCATGTCCCACATCTTTAAAGACAGGGAAACGAAGTCTGGATCAGAAGTCCCTAAACTCAGGGGGGATTCATGGCCCCAGCCCCCACTCATCCTGCCACATTTCTCCTGCTGCTTTCTTGGCCTGTGGCTGCTTCAGCTCTCCCACCTGATCCCCAAAGAACCTGGAACCCACCTGCCCAAACACAGTGTGCGCATGGCTGCAGGTGTGGGTGTGGCCACTTACAGTCTTTGATGGCAGCCTTGGTCTTGTCAACGTCATTGAAAAAGGAATAATCTGGGGAAGAAAAAGAAATCAGCAAACACTCCTGTGTTCATTGCAGCACTATTCACATTAGCCAGAATCTGAAAACAGCCCAAGTGCCTGAGAACAAAAGACTGGATAAAGAAACTATGGTACAACTACACAGTGGAATACTATACAGACTGGAAAAAGAAACTAGGGTTCATCTACACAATGGAACACTATGCAGCCACCAGGAAAAATGGAATCATGAAATTCGCATAGAAATGGGTAGACATGAAGAATAACCTGCTGAGTGAAATGAATCAGAAGGAGAGAGACAGACATAGAATGATTGCACTCATTTGTGGGATATAAAAAAATAATACAATGAGACTAATGCCCCAGGACAGTAGAAAAAAGGGCCAGGGGATTGGTCCACAGTTGGAAGCTTGCCATAAGTGTGTGAGTGGGAAGTTAGGATCACTCTGGACAAGAATTTAGTGCTGAAAGGAGGGAAAGTGATATGCATGGTACCCTTTCAGTAATAGTATTGCAAATGAGATAGAGAGAGGAGAGAGAGATAGAGAGAGAGAGAGAGAGAGAGAGAGAGAGAGAGAGAGAGAGAGAAGAAAAAAAAGTGACTGGGGACATGGGAGGGAAACTTGGGACACTAAGGTGGGAAATGGACACTGGTGAAGGGATGGGTGTTGGAACACTGTATGACTGAAACCAAATCATGAACAACTTCATAACTATGTATCTCATCGTGATTCAATAAAAAAGTAATGGACATAGAAAAACAAATGGAAATCAGCAAACAATAAAATGTACTTCTGCCTTCTCCTAGCCCAGCCTGGTGGTGAGGATCTGAGGAAAGGGGGGCCTGCTCTCCTTGGTGAGGTAGTTTCACTAATGGAGGAGACTTTCGGTGATCACTTTCTTCTTGTAAAGAGCAACCTTGGTTTTATTCATTTATTTAGTTTTTTAAAAATTTTTTTTGGGGGGTACACCAGGTAGTGCCCAGGGCTTACTCCAGGCAGGTCTCAGGGGACCAAGTGGTGCCAGGGATCTAATAGGTCTTGGCCACATGCAAGGCACCTGCCTTATTTCTAAAGACTCCCCTGGAGAGAGGGAGCAGGGCCAGGCTGGCATCCATCCCCTGCCTCTCTGTTAGTGCTCTTCTTGGACATAGTCAGATGAAGGTGCCACCCTGCTGGCCAAGGACTCTGTCCTTTTCTGCTCTCCTCTGCAACATGACCCCTAATTTAGACACAGCTGGCCAGGTGCTGGGTACAGGGCACAGGTGGGACCCCAGAAAGGACTTCATGTGAAATTTGGAGATGTGTCAGAGTCCTGGTTGGTTTCTCTGAAGAGTAGGGCGGGCAGGTGGGAGGCTGAGGAATTGCGGATCCACAGTGCCGAAGAAGACTCAGCTTTTTCAGTCTGACAATTTTCCACCCAGCCCGTGTGTGTGTGTGTGCGTGTGTGTGTGTCTGTGTCTGTGTGTGTGTTTCTGATTCTGAACAATTCATAGGCAGAAGCCAAATGTGACTCCTATGCCAATTCTTTCCACCTTTTGTTTTTTTTCTTGGCATTTTGGGTTACACCTGGAATACTCAGGGATTACTCTTGGCTCTCTGCTCAGGATTCACTCCTAGAAATACTTGGGGAACTATATGCCTGAGATCGAACTCAGCCTGGCCGTGTACAAGGTGAATGCTGTGTCCTCTTCCTGCTTCTGATCTGACTCTGTGCACTGTGCCCACCCTGGGGGCTACTCCTAGAACTCTGGTCTTGGGGGGAGGGCCAGGAAGAGGAGGAGGGTCTGCATGAGGCAATGACCAGAGTGACTGCTGCCGACAGAGAGTCACTTTGGAGGTCAAAAAGCAGTTCTAAGGCTCAGTCCCAGTCACAGGTGGAAAACAAGGTGCCCAGGGAACAAACCTGGCTCACGTGTGTCTTAAGCCCTCAGGCCAGTCTCCCGCTGGGGGCTGGGAAAGAGGGATTGTGGAAGAGGGAAGCAGAGAGATTTACTGTGATCATGTGTCTGCCCTGGACTTGGGGGGGCCTCCAATTAGCGAGCTGTTCCCCAAGCAGACAATTTTTGTCTATTGGCTCTGCACAGCCCTGGAGTAATGGCATCAGGCACTGGGATTTTTGAGGGGTGCGGGGGGCCCCGCCAGACCACTCTCCGGCCTGCGGAGGTGGCCCTAGGATCCGTAGGTGCTGGGAAGGACCGACCGAATGAACACGAGACACAAGAGACAGAATGCAGCTCAGAAACAGAGAGAAAAAGGGACAGGACTTTATTGGGGGCAATCAGGGTATATATCCATTAGTGAGGCAGCTACACAAAAGGTCGTGCCCATATATGGTTAGGAAGGTTTGTTTTCACCTATCATGCATTACAAGGTTTATGTGTATCTGGTACCAGACACGAGGTGATTACATAAAGGGCCATGTCCATATGATTTACCAGACATGAGGTAGATACACAAAGAGCCATGTCCATATGATTTATAAAATTTACATGCATCACGTACCAGACACGAGATAGTTACTTCTTGTTATTACTGACAGCCATGACAGATGTTCTCTCAGGATAACCATACATCAAGATAACTATACATAGCACTGGTTTTGCCTGTTGCGGGGTCACGTAGGTCAAGATGACCATACATAGCACAGGCTGTGCCTGCCGTGGGGTCATAGGTCAGGATGACCATACAGGCACTTAGGCCTTGGTCAGTTAAAGGGCCAGCTTCCCACAGAGGGGTTCATATCTGGAGTTGCATGCCCAGAGATCATTCCTGGCTCTGCTCAGGGATCACTTCTGGTAGGACCACTTATGGCTGGGCTCAGGGTACGGGGGCATCCATCTAAGATGCTGGGGACTGATCTCAGGTCAGGAGTGTGCAAGACCCTAGCCGGAACTCTATCTCTCTAGCCCCTGGGATCTTTTGATATAACAATTCCTTTTTTTTCCTTTTTGCTTTTTGGTTCACACCTGGCAATGCACAGGAGTTACCTCCTGGCTCTGCACTCAGGAATTACTCCTGGTGGTGCTCGGAGGACCATATGGGATGCTGGGAATCGAACCCAGGTTGGCCTCATACAAGGGAAGTGCCCTATTAGCTGTACTATCGCTCCAGCCTTGATGTAACAATTCCTAGGGGACAGAGCAGTCCTGCTAAGTGCAGAGGCACCTGGGGTCTGGAGACAAACTTGGTTAAGACTAGCACTGCAAAGCTGCACCTCTTTGCAGCCTAGAATGCTTCCCTTTCTGGGTTCCAGGGGTTGGGGTGCAGTGTATTCTCTCCGGAGGGTTCTGGGTGAGGCTGGAGCATCTCCCTGAGCTGCTTTGATTTGTTCAGATTTGCACACAGATCACTGCCTCCAGCTATGGGTATGCCATTGGTAAGACGCCCACAGAGCTCGGAGAACAGGCTATGAGGGGAAGAGTCGCTTCTTCCCCTTCCTCCCCCTGGGATGGGAGTGAGCAGTAGGTTGGGAAGTTGACTCAGTAGTAGTTCTGCTAGACTTCCTGCCTAAGCAGGAATTTCTGCCATATCATCTCCACTGGGGGAGGGGTGGTACTCAATTGCTTGATTTTCTCTAGTGACGGGGAGCCTCCCACTCAGCCAGCTCTTCCGAAAGTAGGAGCACACTTAAAATTTTTTTTCTTACAAGGGCCAGGTGGCACAACGGTAGGGCGTTTGCCTTGCACGCAGCCAATATGGCCAACTCGAGTTTGATTCCTCCACCCCTCTCGGAGAGCCTGGCAAGCTACCGAGAGTATCTCGTCCACACGGCAAAGCCCGGCAAGCTACCCGTGACGTATTCAATATGCCAAACACAGTAACAAGTGTCACAATGGAGACATTACTGGGCCCGCTCGAGCAAATCGATGAACAACGGGAGGACCGTGACTTGACTTGACTTGACAAGGGCCAGGACAAATGGTCCACAAATGGTTGAAAACCTGCCTCAAGGGTTGGGATAGAGGGGCCGGAGCGATAGCACAGCTGGTAGGGCGCTTGCCTTGCATGTGGCCAACCTGGGTTCGATCCCCGGCATCCCATATGGTCCCCCAAGCACCGCCAGGAGTAATTCCTGAGTGCAGAGCCAGGAATAACCCCTGAGCATCGCTGGGTGTGACCCCAAAAAAGCATAAAATAAAAAAAAGGGTTGGGATAGAGAAGGGACCATTATGACAATGATGGTTGGGAGGGATGGATAGGAGATGTGTGCTGAAAGTGGGTAAGGACCAAACATGATGGCCTCTCAATATCTGTATTGCAAACCATAATGCCTAAAAGGAGAGGAAGGAGACACACACAAACACACACACACACACACACACACACACACACACACCACACACACACGGAGACAGAGAGAGACAGAGAGATTGAGACAGACAGAGAGAGACAGACAAGACAGAGAGAGAGGAGGCAGACCGGGGGTGAGGGGTGGAAGGAGGGAAACTGGGGACACTGGTGATGGGAAATGTACACTGGTGGAGGGGTGGGTGCTGGAACATTGTATGACTGAAATCCGATCACAAAAGCTTTGTAATTGTATCTCACAGTTATTCAATAAATAAAGACGAAGATTTTCAAATCCAAACAATGAAAAAAATCTTTTCTTAAAAAATTTAGGTTATCTGTATATCCCTTTACCGACTTTCAACACTCAATTCTTGTCCAGAGTAATCACTTCCAACTATTATTGTCACACTGGACCCTCCTCTATCTTAATACCCTCCGCACCCCCCACACATGTGGTAATTTCCAACCATTGACCAGTCCTCTAACCTCTATTTTTTCTGACCTTAGATAATAGTCTCATACTATTTTTTTATATCCCACAAATGAATGCAGTTATTGTGAGGCTCCATCATGGTGATTCAATAAAAAAAAAAAATTAGGCATCTCTCTGGTTTACCTGTAAGCCATGTAAACCTGACATGGTGTACAATACTGTGAATAATGGAATTTAAGGTATTTGATGTTCTAACCCGACTACCAGGGTTAGCACCCCCCACCAATGTCTAATGTCACCCTTCTAAACATCTCTCAGCAGACTCAGTTCCTGAGCCCCCTTCTCAGGGAGAAAGAGCTTTCTTAAAAACTGAGCTGTATTTTCCCTATTTATCTTTTCCATTTTCTGTCTTGGGGACTGGAGAGAGTTCAACAATTGGAGGCAATCTTTGCATGCTGAAGGCTCTGGACAGTTCAGTTCCTGGCGCTGTGTATGGTCCCTCATACGCTGCCAGGAGCACCCCAAAAGTAGGATTCACAAAGTAAAAAAAAATCAATTTCTGTTTCTTGGTTGTGGGATGACTTTCACTGACTGTATTTGTGTGTTCATCGGTACCAGGTAATATGTCCCTGACAATTAACTGGTGGAGGAGGGTGTTACGATGTCATTGTAGAGGTGAGGCAGTGACGAGGTTCTGTGACTCTGGACTTGGAACCAGGCTTCAAACACAGAACTTTCTCATCTCAAAACCCCTTCTTTTGTGTGTCAAACTTTCTCTGGGCAACCCTGTCACTGTGTGAACTTGGAGAGGTCACTTCACCTCTCAGCATCTCTGTTTCTCTATCTGTGGCTTGGGTGAACAGAATTATATCCTCTGAAAACAAATACAAACCTGCCCTCCAGGTTTTCTTCTTTCAGGGCTGGTGGAGGGGTTAGAAGAAGTTACTAGCGCCACCTTGTGACCATTCGCACCTCCCCTCTTTGGAAAGTGCTAAAATAAAACGCTGATTGAACTCCTTTGGAGAAGGGGGGAGGGCAAAAGGTTCATTTTCTTTGCAGCTCAGTAAAATGTCCAACAGCCCTTTGTGCCAGCCCTGGGTAGCCGGGAGTCCTTGTGAAAGCAATACGTTTTTGTTGTTTCAGCTGAGTTCTTGTGAGTTCAGTGAATATATTTTAGCTGTCCTTGGCTTTTGAATAAATTGTTTTCTCCCCCTTTCTTGTAGAGATACGTACTTTCTTGTAATGTTTTCTTAGGGGAGGGTTTGGGCTACAGGGGTGCGCAGGGTCTATTCCTGGCTCTCAGTTCAGATGTGATCCCTGGCTTTGCTCAGGGAGACCATAGGCAGCATGGGGGATTAGAACCGGGATCCACTGTACAACTTGATCCCTGTACTATCTCTCCAGTTTTTGTTTTTCATCCTGAGGTGCTCAGGGGCAAAACTAGGGGTGGGGGCACATACGGCGCCAGGATTCGAACCTGGAAGAAAGGTGCAGCCCCATGCTGGGCAAGAGCCTTAACCTCTGTCCTATCTCTCCAGCTCCTCTCTGGCTTTCTTGTAATTTTTGCCTGGGAGCTCGGAGACTCGCGCATAGCAGGACAGCCAGGGATTGAGAGCCGTGCGCTCCCAGTGGCTGGCCCCGCCCCCGCCGCAGCTCCGACCCGTCCAGGTGAGACCCCGGTGGCACCGACCTTGCGCGCGGATGTTCTGGAGGATGAAGTACAGGTACTCCCCGCAGATGCCGGCCGCCTCAATGAACTCCTCCTGCGTCATGCTGCACAGCTGCAGGCCGCTGATGTTGAAGTGGCAGAAGGAGATGCAGTTGGCGTCCAGCTTGTACTGGTCGCAGCAGAACTGGAGCCACTCCCAGACGTGGTGCTTAGTCCAGTACTCGGGGTGCACTGACGTCCAGTAGGGGTCACAGGCTGCAGCAGGGGGGAGAGAAGCGAGGGAGGAGGGCCCCCGGAAGGAGGCCCTGGTCACACCCACATCCTCATCCCTGGTCTGGGGGGTGCAAAGGGCCTCCACCGCGGGCTGCTCTGCAGGGGTCCAGGCCGCCTCTGTTCCGCAACCAAAACCAAAGGGCGCTGGACGATGGGCTGGATTGGGGGGAGGCAGGAGAGGGAAGGACAGGGGAGAAAACCCAGTCATGGCGCTGGAGTGCCCAGGCCCAAATCTGGCGCTCAGAAAGAGGTGACTTGGGGCTAGGGGTGTGGCTCAGGGCTCTGGGTACTTGCCTAAGCACCCTGGGCGCTGGCCTTGGCCCCTGCCCTGGCACCACTGGCCCCCAGCAGTGCTTCACCCCCAAGTCTGAACATTGGCCCATCTTCCCCTCCCCCCAACTCCCTCACCCCTCCACTTGTTCCCTGGGAGGGTCCCCCAGCAAAAATAAAAAAGAAAAGCAAGAAAGAGGAGAATTAGTGACAAAGGAAAGACAGCGGCTTGCAGTCTTTGGCTACAGACAGCATCAGGAATGGTATCAAATAGAGACAGGATCAAGGGCAGAGGGTCGGCTCTTAATAGATCAGGGTTCACATCCTGATTCTGCCACTTGTCATTTGGGCGACAGAGATTGAGGCCTCAGTTACCGCATCTGTCAAAAGGGCATGCTGAATTCCACTCCTGGGGCTGGTGTGGAGTTTGGGGTTCAGGTCAATAGGCTGTGTGGGGTGTAGAAGATGACTTATCGACGGCAGTTATGAAGGACCGTTATTAAGGAATGCAATGCTAGGGAATCCCATTGGTCGCCGCCTGCTCTCTCCCACCAGCTGCTCAGCACTGGTGATCAGTTGGCACTTGCCTTTGGCCATCCCTTGAGACATCGCCCAGGGTCCAGTAGACCTGGATTGCCACAGCAGGGGAGCAGGAGGTGGAGTGGGTGTGCAGTTGGTAGGTTTGAGGTGGTGGAGAGAGACTTGCTTCCTGAAGCCAGAGACCTTTCCTTTCTCTCTCCCACCCCCTGCCCGCCCCATACCCAGAGGGTGCTCAGGGCTTATTCATGTGTCTGTCCTGACAGGGCTTTGGGGACAATCTATGGTGGTGGGGATGGAACCAGGCTAGGCTGCATGCAAGGCAAGTTCCCTACCCCCGTACTAACATGTCTGCCCCAAGACCAATGGGCTTCCATAGCATTGAATCACTTAATAACAGCATTTCATTCCGCTATTTGGGAAGAGAGGTGGGCGCCATCCTGGCCTACAGGCACAGACCCGGGGCTCTTCGGCCTTGTTCTGGCTGGGAGCGACAGGAACAAGAACAAGCACAGGGCACAAAGAGACGAGGTACCAGGGATCTGAACAATTTTGCATGAATGATTCTCATAACTGCCTTGCACACATTTGTTTATTCAATGAACTTTTATTTGGTCATCAGTAAAATGGGATGATGATAGTACCGGATTAGGTCACTGTTCTGTGGTTTACCTGGGACTGTTGGTGCAAAAGTGCTTAGAGCAGCCCAGAAGATTTTATTTTATTTAAAATAAATTTTATTTTTTTTTAATTGAGTCACCGTGAGATACACAGTTACAAAGCTGATCATGATCAGGTTTCTAATCCAACACCCATCCCTCCACCAATGTCCATTTCCCACCACCAATGACCCCAGTTTCCTTCCCGCCACCCTCCCCTCCCCCATCCTCCCTCTATGGCTCCTTGGCAAGGCTTTTTCCTTCTCTCTCTTTCTCCCCCCACCCCCCCCGACCCCTTAACATTATTATAGAACATGTGTGATGCTTGAAGCCACACATCCTCTGCTAAGGTCTCATGGTGTCTAAGTGGTTGGGTCTCCGTCCCCCAGGAGGCCATAGTCCAGGAACAGAAGGGTGCAGGGAATTGTCTAGTCTTCTGGTGGGAGGGATGGAGTTTGACATCCCAGTCTGAACTTGAACCCTGTTCTATCAACCCAGGCCTCAGAAGATTGGCACAGAGAAGAAACACAGAGAGTGAGGCAGAGGCCTCCGTGGAGCTAGAGACAAGCAGAGAGCCTAGGAGAATGGCTGAGGGCGGTGAGGGCATGGCTGGCTGGTCAGGACTGTGTGCCTGACCGAAAGAATCGCTCAACAGAGCCTCCCCAGCAAAGGCGATTGACCAATGACCATTCTATTTTCAAATGTTGCTTTAAAAATTAAAAAAAATATTTTTGGTGCCACACCTGGTGATGCTCAAGGCTTATTGCTGGCTCTGCACTAAGGGGTCACTCCTGGTGGGGCTTGGTGGGAATCAAATGAGGTACTAGGGATCAAATCTGTATTGGCTGCCTGCAAGGCAAGTGTCCTACCCCCTGTATCATCGCTCTAAATGAAGCTGTGATCCTTTATTTGTTAATTTTGAGGGCTACACCTGGGCAGAGCTCAGGGGTTATTCCAGGCATCACTCCTGGCGGTGCTTGGGGGGACCATATGGGACACCGGGGATTGAACCCAGGTTGGCTGCATGCAAGGCCAGAGCTATGCTATGCTATGGCTCTGGCCCCAAAGCTGTGATCCTTTGAACCCCAGATAGGACATAGGGTCTCTACCCTCCTGGGTGCTGCTCCCTAGGGGCCCCCAAGGGTGCACTGGATAATGCATGGATAATGCATGTGCCTTATCCATGTCTTCTCACATTCCCCACATCCTTCCAATGTTTTAAATCTCTAGGCCCGACCCGGCTACTTCACTAAGGAGGTAAAGTAAAACCCAGAACTTTCAAAACTTGTCTAGAAATCTCTTTTTTCCACCATGGAGTGTGGCAGGGCGGTCAGAGTTCAAGATTAAACAGAGTAGGGGCTGGAGCGATAGCACAGCCGGTAGGGCATTTTCCTTGGATGTGGCCGACCTGGGTTCGATTCCCAGCATCCCATATGGTCCCCTGAGCACCACCAGGAGTAATTCCTGAGCACATCAGCATCGCTGGGTGTGACCCCCCCCAAAAAAAACCTAAACAGAATGGCTTAATCCGCCCTCATCACAGCATAAGGTCTGAGGGTGAATGAGAGTCAATATTCTACCAGGATAAATGAGGACCATGCGGTGGATGACAGCCGGTCCTGCTCCATGGCTACTGGCGGGTCCCAGGCTGTGCTTTACAGGTCTCCTGGGCAAACAGGGCCCCATTCCTGAAGTGGCTGTGCTGTACGTTCTTTCATCTATTGGTTTCTGGGGGCGGCGAGGGGTGGGGATGCTCTGCCTTTCCTGGAATCCTGAGGACACCTGCTCAGGAGCCTGGAAATCCCTCCACCCCTGGTCCTGCCTCATGTCCCGCCCGAGATGGCTATCAGCGGGAGCGGCTGGAGGACACAGTTTATTTCTTCTGCGCTGAAAGGCCTGGCCAAGTGTCCCTTCCCCTCCCCTCTCCCCTCCTACTCCTGCGCTATTTTCTTTGGCACTTGAAACCAGGTCTTGTGTTATTTCTGGAAGCCAAGAGGGCCGAAAGGATTCAGAGAAGCATGGGGTCAGGCGGGCTCCGACACTGAAGGTGTTGCTGGCTGGGCCTCCCCTGGCCTCCCTGCCCTGCAATCCTCTCCTCAGAAGCAGTTCCCCACAGAGCAGGCTTTGTGTGCAGTTCCAGCAGCCCTGGGGCTGTTCCCAGGGACCTGTCAGGTCAGGAGAGCTGGAGGTCAGGGGGTGTTTTCCGTGGCCATCTGTCCCCACCGCCCTGCCTTCCAAGCCATCCCTCCAGCTCCTTCCCCATCACTCTACCAGCACTGTCTCCTAGCCGGCATCTTCCCTCGGGACCCCCAAACCAGGTCCACCCAAGACTTGGAACACCTGCTTGGAACACCTCCAGGCCGGCCTCCCTTCACCTCCATCTCTCATCTTCCCCTCTGGGCAGAGGCCCTGTCAAGGGACTTTCTGACCACCCCCTTTCCCCTCACTCCAGACCTGGCTCTCCAACAAGGTGGGCGCTGCTCTGCTTAGCCTGAGCCTCGAGCATCCATAGTGCGGTCAGTGAACGTGCCAGGATTCTTGTCTCCCTTTTACAGATGAGAAAACTGAGGCTCTAAGAAGGTCTAGGACTTCTAGGATGGGACCACAGGACCCATCAATAAAGCAGTTGGGCCCAATTCCCACAAATCTGCTCTCTTTGTTTGGATGTGAAGATTTCCCATCCGATCCTGCCTCACTGTTGAGTGAGGAGGATAAAGTTGGGCATACATTTCAAAGACTGAAAACATTTTGGAAAAAGGCACTTAAAAAAATCCCAAGATAGAAACAATAGTCTATATTATATGTGCACATGGATATTATTAATATGCATGGCAGAGCCTGGCAAGCTACCCTTGGTGTATTCCATATGCCAAAAACAGTAACAATAACAGGTCTCATTCCCCTGACCCTGAAAGAGCCTCCAATATGGCACCCTTGGGAAAGACGAGTAAGGGGAGGCTGCTAAAATCTGAGGGCTGGGACGAATGGAAACATTACTGGCTCCTGCTGGAGTAAATCGATGAACAACAGGATGACAGTGACAGTGACAGTGACAGTGATGTCTAAATATACACAAATATCTAGATATCTTATGTACATGTATTATACATATTGTATATCTTAAAAGGCAAAGAGAGGATGGAGAGACAAACACTGAAGGTATCTGCAGCCCCCAGGAGTATCGGCAAGAAGCATCTTTTTCTACTCCTTGGAAATCAAAGACAGGCTCATCCCCACTGCAGGACCCTCTTCCACAGACTATGTTGCCTGGAAGTGTAAAGCATCTGCTCTGCACGGATTTCTCTCCTTTTCTTTTGTCTCCCAGCCAACCCTGGAAGTGCTGCGAGCTCACTCCTACCTCTGCACTCAGGCGGGTTTAGGGGACCGTAGGGGAGGCCGGGGGTTGAATTTGGGTGGGCAGCCTGCAAGGCAAACTTCCTATCTGCTGTGCTATACTCCGGCCCCTGGGTTTCCTGGCGAAGAGCTGGGGAAGTGATCGCTTGCACACTTTCAGTA